TTTTTTTCTCTTGTAGCAATTCTATGGACGTACTTTTGCTTTATGTTTGAGGCGCGGGCCAAGCTAGGGGGTGTGTTAGCGATTCTCGCCTGGCTGCCGCTCACTACCCACCTCGGTGGCCTTGGCTACTTCCTTTCAGATAGCCCCCTGTAGTCAGAATCTACCATCAATCCACGTCCTTGAAAACGTAGCCATTGAGTGTAGAATCAACTGGCATGTGGTCACCCCCGCACATGTCTCAACACTAGTGCAGCATCGAGTCTTGGCAAGGAGGCAGTGCAGCCCAACAAGTGGCCCTCAGCCACGTTCCTGCTTCAACGCGGACTTTTCTTCTTATTTCACCCATAATCTCGTATCATAATGCCTCACTGCTATTGCATTGGAATATTCCCAAGCTTGGTGACTTCAGTTGCTGTCTTCTTTAACGCAGTAACTACTCAGATCAATCGCTAACTAAGCTCACCCCCAATATTGAATCATGTCTCATCAGATAACGCAGGATAACGCCAGCAATTCTCATGTCCCTCAACCCGGAACCCTCACGCGCGTGTCCATCGTCTTATCTGCAGCTAGCACCTGACATACCCGGACAAGATCCTGCATGGACGCCAGGGTAAGCGGATGGGATTTGCCAAGGACTTTCTCGCGGCCGCGCGCCGCCCGCTCCGCCAGGGCCTCGGCCTCCTTCCACCGGCCCTGCGACTGATAGATCACCCCTAGATTGGCAACGGTGGTCAGACAATGGGGATGGCTGTCCCCAAGCGCCTTCTGCATGCCCCGCAACGCCTGCGCCGTGAGTGCCTCCGCCTCCCGTGTGCGCCCCTGACTCTGGAAGGTCAACCCCAACTCCGCCATGGCCGTCAGACAGAGGGGATGCAGATCGCCCAGCTGCTGCTTCATAGCGGCGACGGCCCGCGCCCCAAGGCTGGCCGCCTCGTCCAGTCGTCCCTGCAGCCGCCAGGTGGTCGCCAGATTGACCATGGCCATGAACGTCTGCGGATGATCGCCGCCCAGCCCATCCTGGCTCCTCTCCACCACCTGCGCCTCCAGCTGCTCCGCCTCCTCAAACCGGCCCAGATCCCGATAGATAGCCGCAAGGTTCGCCATCGACGTGAGACACAGCGGGTGCTGCACCCCTAAACTCGTGACCCTCGCGTCCAGAACTTCGGATTCCAGCTTCTCGGCGTCTTCCAACCGCCCCTGCTCCCGGAAGGTGACCGACAGATTCGACTTGTAGGTCAGGGTGGACCCGTGGCGGGCGCCGAGCACGCGCGCGCTGCGCTCGATGACGCTCTGCTCGAGGCGGGCGGCGTCGTCGTACCGGCCCATGTACGTGTACGTGGTCGCGAGGTTGCTCATGGAGGTCATCGTGGACGGGTGATCGGGTCCCAGGGTTTTCGTCTTCAAGTCGAGGAGTTGCTTCTCCAGCGCCTCGGCCTGTCGCAGGTGGCCCTTGTTGCGATACGCTGACGCCAGGTTGGACATGGACGCCATGGTCTGCGGACTGTCCATGCCCAGCACCGCCTGGCGGGCCTCGACCACGCGCCGCCCCAGCTCGATGGCCTCGCTCCATCGGCCCTGTCCGCAGTAGGCGGAGACGAGATTATGCATGGCGGTCAGAGTGGCCGGGTTGTCCGGGCCTAACAGCGCCTTTCGGGTGTCTACGACCACATTGCCCACGTCTACGGCCGCGCTCCACTGCCCTTGCTCCAGGAAGGTGAGGACTAGGGCTCCGAAGCGCACGAGGGCCGCACTCGGGTCATCCGGATCCTGCTGCAGGACTTGGTCCACCACCGCCTCCACCTGGCTTGCGGTCTCTATTTGTTTGTGGGTGTGGTATCGTTTTGCGAGATTTCGGAAGGTGTTTGCTATCGAGGTTGAGGAAATGTCTTCCATCTATTTGGGGGCTTCGAGGAGTGGTTCGGCGGATGGTGGGGGTGGAAGAGCGATTCGGGCAGAAGCCGACCGTCGCGCGAGGAGAATCGACCGGGCGGAAACGGGGTATCCGGGGAGGAAAGGACAAGGACGTCAAGGTGATGGGATTAAACTGGGTCTAAGCTTGTAGAGAGGGATGGATCGGGGACGGCTTGAGCGGGTCGGGGTCGGTGAGCGATGCACAGTGAGAGGAAACCTTGGAGGAGGGATGAAGAGAGAATGATGGTGATGATGATGATGCAGCCCAGTGGGACAAGAATGACTTCCCCCCTTGGTCTGATTAGAAGCGGGAGAACTGGAGAAAGACCGACACCGATAATCTCTTGCCAAGACGCTAGGCAGTAGGGCTGTGGACAACTCTCATCGATTTGATTGATTGAGCACCGTTGCTTTATCGGACCTCCGGTCTTGAGTTGCATCCTGCTTGCCTTCACCCACCCTACTTCTCACCGTTTCCGGTGCCATAGTAGCAGAAGTCGCTGATTATGCAAGACTGCCCATGCGCTCGACGGTATGAAGTGCAACATGGGAGAAGACATGGGAGAATCAACGGAAGATGTCTTGCAGAGCCTGCCAAGTCAAGGCCGTAACAAACAGCCGGATATCCGGAGGAGGGCAGGCAGTGACGGCAGTTAGCCTTACCGACGGTTAATTCAGCCCTGGACAAAAATAGTATCCCCGCCCGAATTACCGTTCCGTGACAGCCCGTATTGTCACCAGGGTTTTGGTTCGAGCTTAGGGTAACTTATGTAAACCAGCTTCGATCGGACATTAATTGACTAAGATACCTCTTCTTCTCTGCTTCTTCCTCAACCTGCTTCGAATCCATCGGCTGCCGCTGCAGCAAACGCCATGGCCTCTTCGAATGACACTCAGCCCTCCTTCGGAGACGAATTCGACCCATTGCTTAAGAATCACTCCCAGTCGCCCTCGAAATCCGATCCCGGCCGCCCCCTTACTCACAACCCCCAAGCAGCTCGTCGCCAACTGCCAACGGCCGTCCGATCTGGGGCCTACCTACCGATATGCTTCCTCCCACTGGCACTTGTGGCCGGATATTCTCAATGGAACCCAGTCCTCGTCTTCCTCTATAACCTTTTCGCCATCATCGCTCTGTCGGCTATCATGTCCGACTCCTCGCAACAGCTGACAACCCATACGAGCGACCTGACAGGTGCACTGATCAACACGGTGCCCCGCAAAGCAGTCGGGCTGAGCGTGAGTCCACCTGTACTACTGCGTTCATCGCCGATAAATAAGCTAATATACCATTGCAGTTAGGATCCTGGGCCGTTGCCAGCCGCGAGATCTACGTGGCGCAAAGCCTGGCCATCGGGGCCATCCTGTCTGAGATCCTGCTCGTAAGCACCGTCTCCCTCAACCACCGACAACACGCTCTTACATTCTGTTCCTAACCGTACCTCCCGAACCAGATCCTGGGATGTAGCATGATCGCCGCCTCCTACCGCACCGACATCCTCTACTTCAACCAGCCGATCACCAACACCCTCTCCTCCCTCATGCTCGCAATCTCCACGGTCCTCCTGCTCCCCTCCGTGCTGGCCACAAGCTTTCCCTACGAACTAGGTGACCGCACCGTGGCCTTCTCGCGGGGCGTATCCGCGGTGTTGCTGTGCGTGTACGCGGGATACCTGTATTTCCAGCTCGGAACGCACCGGCATCTCTTTCCGCAGCAACCGCGTACGGAAAACCCGGATGGTGCGCATGGGGAAGCCGACACCGCCCACGAACTGCCACGCACCGTATCGGGCAAAGCGAAAGCCCTCCTGATACTGACACTCGCGACCCTGGCTACAATCATTTGCTCCAAGTTCCTCGCCGACACCCTGGTCATAACGGCGGCACGACTCCACCTCAGCAAGACCCTGGTGGCCGCTACGCTTGTCCCGCTCGCGACCACGGGCGCCACCGGCGTGTCGATGATTCGCGGCAGTGCGGCGAGCCAGGATGTCGATGGCGCGGTGTGTGCGGTCGTGCAGAGCGTGGTGCATGTGGGGTTGTTCGGGATGCCGGCGCTCGTGCTATTGGGGTGGGCGCTGGCCAAGCCGATGAGTTTGGTATTTGATGTGTTTGAGGTGGTGGTGCTGTTCTTTTCGGTGCTGCTGGTGAACGGGGTGCTGCGTGGGGGGAGATATAGTGTTGTGCATGGGGTGGCGTTGGTTGCTATGTGAGTCTCCTTTCTACATTTGTGAGTGATTGAGCGGTGGACGTGGTTGTGGCTGACTTGTGACTTCTATCTAGGTATGCAATCCTTACGCTGGCGTTTTGTGTTCGCTAGCGGTAGGTTTCTTGGGTACAAGGCTGAGTTGGGAAAGCGATTTGTCGATGTGGTTTACCTTTTCTGGACATAAATAGTATTGATATACACTGCATGATGACTATATTATAAAAGCAACAAATGTGAATCCAAATGTACTGCTTGCTGTGAGGGCGAGAGTGCAGGATGGGATTTTACTTCGGAGAGTCTGCTAAACCGAGCCCGCACATATGACGTGACCGTCCTCCAACCTCAGCCTTTCCCTCACGCAAGTAAAATACAAAATACCACTTAAGGGGCATCTTTACCCTCGACAAGAAACCTTGGAAGAGGACGACCGACGGAATTCACCCCTCCCTCAGCCTTACAGGGCTGGGTGGCAGCTTGTCATTGGTGCTTGCCCGGCCGACCGCGTAGGCACCGACATTCCTGGGCCAATGGGCGCGGGACGTGCGGTCCTAGTGCTCCACTATGCTCGCTTTGATACAGGTTTGTTTGGATGCTCCGGTATGGGTTGTATCGGGATTACAAGAGGGGTATGGAACGGTATTGAGGGTGTTGTTTTGATTAGCACGTGTTCCGTGCAGTCCGAGCCCCTCTTAAGGCTGAGTGCGTAGGTCTACTTGGTATGTAGGAGAGGAGCGTTGGCAGGATATTAAGGGTTCTGTGTTACTGAGGATAACCTAATAATTTCTAGGTGATTGTAGGATAATGGCTCAATCCTGTGTTTAGCGATTCACTCCTGAAAAGGGTTTCTTTTGTTTCTAAATTTTATCACAACATGAGACCTACGAGAGAAAGGAAAGACGGAGAGGAAGAAACCATAATTGAAACACCAGATCTACATCATAGACCTGGCTAGATGAGTTAGATTGCTAGGTAATAAACGGCTATGCGAACAAGAAACCAGTTCTTGGTTCTACAACCAAGGTCAAAAACCCCCGATCAACAGGGCAGCTCACGGCCTCCACTTCTCCAACCACCGGCGCCGCCGCCTATAATTCTTGGCATGCTCCCCCTCCGCTGGGGGCATCCTCTCCTGCAACCGCCGCCACAAAGCCGCGGAGACAGTCAAGGAGACATACGAATCCTCCCTGCGCCTCAGGAACTGCAAGAAGACACACGGGACATTCGGCTGCTGGCACGGCGGGCACGCGGCCATCGCCGCGGCCATCTTGTCCAGCTCGTTGTCCCAGTGCGCCTCGATCTCATGCCCGACGTTGCGGACCACCAGGAACACCAGCGCCGCCGCGTAGACGTGCGGCTTCAGCATGTATACCGGGTGGTACGTGGAGGCCAGGTCGGCGGGCCCGCGTCCCGGTCCGCCCCGGTGCGCGGTGGCGCGCGGCGTGGGCAGGAGCGAGTCGCAGGTGCACATATACAGGGAATCCCCGTCGCCGCCGCCGCGTTCCTGCAGGCGCGGGATCCACCACAGGAGTCGGGACTTGCGGTACAGGTGCAGGTGGTGTTTGTCGTTGACGATGATGTGCGCGTCTGGGATGAGGGTGCCCTTTGGTCGCGGGTGCGGGTGCCAGGGGCAGGGGGGTGCGGTGCGTGTGCTGGTGGCGTCGTTAGGGTCCGGCGCTTGACAGCAGAAGTCCAGTCCTTCGGGTAGGGTGGACAGGGCTTCTACGGCGACGGCGAAGAACTCGTCTTCGATGACGTAGTCCGCACTGGTGATTGTTAGCTGCAGGCCCAGGTAGCCGAAGACGGAGTCGCCCCAGATGACGTGGGGGATGTGCAAATCGTCCAGGATGTAGGATGTCTTGGCTTCGGTGGATGCTAGCCAGGTGTGGGTGTAGGGCTCACTGCGGCGCGGCGCGGTCGAGTCCATGGTGCTTGGTTGTGTGTTTCGTGGTTGACCTGATGTGTTGTCTTGAGCGATGTTTGTCGGCAGTTGTGGCCAGCCTGCTGGTGATTCTGCTCTATCTTTTGGAAAGTGATCATCATGATTCTTATAGATGTCGTGGCTTTGTGCGTGGGGGCATGGTGGATTGAAATTGTCTTTCAGTTCATTCAGACTAGATGGAGATTCTTTCAATTGTTGGTGGACTGAGTGAGCTCTTCATTTGGTTTGAAAGGACGATGAGTTGTTTGACGGCAATTCTCGTGAAAGCAAGTCGTCCTTGTCTCTGTCTGTTGATGTCACAGAGAGAATCTGCATTCCTCCATGCATCACAGCTGACTTCGAAAGCAGTCCTTTTTCTGTGGACCCAGACTGGTGACTATCCCAATCGAGGGTAAGTAAACCAAGGCCTGGCAAAACATTTCATGATAACTTCAGATGCCACTACTATACCATGTCTGATCGACGGATCTATCCGCGACATCAAATTAAATCTCTGTTGCACCCTATGCCTATACGGGAGTTCTCCACATGATTATGCTTTGCAGCACAGTCGAAGTCAATGCTCCCTAGGGCAGCGCATTGCACCCAATCTCCCAAATGCATAACGACAGGACCGGATCCACTCACACTCTCACAATCGGATGATCTGCAACTGCCATTCCACTCCGCAAACCCAATTCTCCTCTTGACTCAGAAAAAGGTACACAATAACCTCTCAAGCTATGTATACCATTGGACAACCGCATGGTTGACATGACCGATGGATCGCCGATACATCTCCGCCACGAGGCTTGGCGTGGCTCTATCTCGGGATTTGATCGGGTTGCCGAATTATCCCCCTCGTTCCCCTTTCGCCCCCCTCGCGGCTTTTGTCCTGACCCAAGCGGATGGCACAACGCACACTCTAGTTCCCCCCATCAAAACCCACGTTGTCGGTTCTCCCCCTCATTGCCGCCCCACTTCCGGTTTTCTTCACGCTGAATAAAGCAACCGAGCCTCCACGGTCCAAGCCCGCCATGGAAAAATTTTCTCTCTTCCCCTCACAGGATTGTAACTCCCCCTCACGGGCAACAATTGAGTCAGGCAATTTTCAAAGTAGAATTGGGGTAGAAATGCTGGTGGTCAAGAATATATACGTCCTCAATGCCTCAATCAACAGGGACGGGTCGAGACCTGTTCTAAGTGGTATATGCAAGCGTGCTATCGGTGTAGGACAAATTAAATGTCAGTGATCTGCATTGTGAGTTGGGTCTAGCAGGGATATTTTATATACCAATCAGGTTCATGCATTCCGGTCGATTGGATCTGCATTTTCTTTTGTGGAGAGTTGCAGGTCACGTGCAGTGACCGCACCTATACATCTCACCGGCATCAAATGAGTCCTCCCACGGCAATTGATGCAGTCGAAGAGGGAATAGATGGATCCGACACCTCTTTGGGGAAGTCTGATCATGTCGACCCTGAACACCCTCAAAACTGGGCCATGGCCAAGAAGGTCCGGACGATCATCATCCTCGGCCTCATGAACATCTTGGGTACGGCGGCCAGCAGTATCTTGAGTCCGGGGCAAAAAGAGATTATGCGAGAATTCAACATCGACCAAGAAGTCGCTATCCTCACGACAACATCATTCCTCGTGGTATGGTTCTGCTCCCATGATATATCGATGCGTTGGGGAAACTGACCGCAAATTAGGGCTACATCTTCGGCTTTCTCACCTTCGGACCTTTGTCCGAGAAGTTCGGCCGCAAATGGCCGCTGATCATCGGCGTCACCGTCTCCTCGCTCTTCGAGCTGATGCCCGCCTTGGGCAACAACATCACCACCATCCTCCTCGGGCGCTTTTTCGCCGGATTGTTCGGAATCTCTCCCGTGGCGGTAATGGGGGGAGTCGTCAGCGACTGCTTTGCCACGGCGCAGCGGGGCACCGCAATGGCGATCGCGGTCGGACTGATGTTCTTGGGCCCGACGTTCGGCCCCGTATTCGGGGGCTTCATCGTGGCTTCCTCGCTGCACTGGCGGTGGACGATGTGGGTGATTATCATCTGCGGGCTGGGCCTGTCGCTCATTGCTGTGCTGCTGTTCCCAGAGACATATCCCCCGATCGTCCTTGATAGAGCAGCAGCAGCAGCAGCCGAAAAAAAAGACCTTGAAAGCCCCAGCATCGACAAACCACTGGATGTCTCCGCGGAGAAGGAGAGCTTGACCCTCGCGCAGGTCGCGAGACTCTATCTCATCCGACCTTTCTGTAGGTTCCCGTTTACCTCTACAACAGCACAACCCTCACTAACACGACGCAGGGCTAATCTCCACCCAACCCATTCTCTTCCTTCTGACCCTCTATCAATCCATCCTCTACGGCATCCTCTACCTCTTCTACCAATCCTACCCCTACACCTACGGCGACCTCCGCGGCTGGCGCACGGGGCTCAACACCCTCCCGTTACTGGGGATCAACGTCGGCGTCGCCCTCGGCGCCCTCGCGATGATCCTCTACAACGCCCTCTACTTCCGACACCACTGCCACGACCCGTCCACCGGCAAATTCATCCCGGAATCCCGCTTACCGCCGATGATGCTCGGCGCGATCTTCATTCCTGTGGGCATGTTCTGGTACGCCTGGACGGCCAGCCCGGCCATCTACTGGGCGAGTTCCGTCTGCTCCAATCTCTTCATCGGGTGCGGGATGTACCTACTGTTCATCCAGGGGTTTAGCTATATTGTGGACTGCTACACGGCGATGGCGAACAGTGCGCTGGGGGTCAATGGCGCCATGCGCAGTGTGTTTGCGGCTTCGTTCCCGCTGTTCGCGAGTCAGATGCTGCACGGGTTGGGGGTGGCAGAGGCGACGACGGTACTTGGGGCGGTGTGTGTGGTGTTGGTCCCGGTGCCGGTGTGCTTTTGGTACTGGGGCGGGAGGTTAAGGGTTTGGTCGGAGGGGAGGGTGTTCGGTGGGTAGATTAGTCCTCGGTTGTGGGGATCTTGTGAAGGTCTTGGTGGTCGGAGTGAGAGTTCAGGTTTACGTGTTGGACGGGGTTGTCCATTCATCTTCTTTCCTTCGAGTTTTCTTGCGATGCATTGCATACTGGATTATACAATATACCCCTCTTAGACTATAGAAAAGTAATTGCTGGTTGCAATTATTTAATACCCAGTTTTCATGAGAGCTATACAGATGACAAGGTCGTTAGCGGGAAGAGATGTATCTTTCATGGCAATGGGCATCAATTTCAAATCTACGTACAAGCTATTTGCCCACCAGGTGATAAGCTCTCATCCCAGCATGCTGTTGAAGCAAGACTCCTGTCTATCTAGCGTGACATCGGCCCTATTGTCGGACATCTAGAGCGGGGGGTTTATGAATCACACAGCCCATCCCCGCTACGTAGAAATAGCTAGTGACGTACTCTACCTAGCAAATCTGACAGACGGGATAACAGGGTGGAGTCGAACGGGAATGAGCCTCGGGATCTATGTGGGCTCTGTGCGAATCCCGTCATTAACCCGGGAGGTCTTGTCAACCAAACCCCGTCGGGCATCGAAAGACAATATCCTGTATTCAAAGTATACACTGCCCGGAAGCGGGAGGCGATCGCTGCGCCGAAGCTTAGGGTCGCGGCTTTGGCCAACACAAACACCAGTGCAAAGTCAATTGGGAGCGCGCATTTGTCGGACAGCATTAATACTGAATGCGCTGAATGCACTACGGCTACCCAGTCTCTGGAAAGGAATTAAAGGGATGTCCGACGGATATTGCTTTTGTATGTAAATGATTGGCGTGCAGGTACATGATCCAAGCTCCAAGCTTAAAAAGTAGGGCCTCTGTTCAATCAATCTTGTCCAGGTCCATGGCCAGCGCCTGGCGACCATTGAGCTGCAGGCTCTGGTAGTTCTTGTTGATCTTGGCCTGCCTCTCGGCCATTTTCCGGTACACCTCCGTGGCCACCACAGTGACGAGCTTGCAGGAGCCCTTGGCCTCGAAGATCGCCTTTTGGATGTCCAGCCTTTCCCAGATTATCTGAGGCTTATACTATAATTTCTATCTTCTTACCTCGTATCTACGCCCCTGACTAGATGGAAACAGACTAGGATCCCGCACGGTCTACAAATACACAACCTCGGCTTTGAATCCGGAGGTTATTATCCATACGAATTCCTGCCAGCCACAGAAAAAAGAGGCTGTTTCACCAAGTGAGCTGGCCATATCTATTTTCTGTTCTCGCTTGAACCCACTCAAGCACTACCCTGTAGGTACCATGGGGTTTCGAACAATTGGAGGAGATTGATAGCCTATAAGCAGGCATAGGAAACAGGAATAGACCTCCCAGCACACCGAGTGGGGTCCCTAAGCATTAGACATAATACTTTACAGAGCACGCTAATTGTCTTTCCCAGTCGAAGCTATTGCTCCTGGAATACTTATGATCTAGAGGGATTGAAAGAATAGATTTTGGATCAGGAGGCTAAAGGGCGACTGCACAGGAAGCCATAGTGGATTTAAAGAGGTGAGGAACGCGTGCTCGCTGATTGCGTTACGCACAACCAACGTTAAGTAGAAAATCCCCGACCGGGGCTCACGTCTGAAGCTTTCGGCTGAGGTAGATTAACACTATTTCAGCATCATAGCAACGCTGCAACAATTTCCGATAGATTTCACCTCCAAGGGTGCTCTCAAGACCCAGTGATATGCACAATTTGAATGTCACATGGCCTGAATGGGGCCTACGAAAGAGAGATCGCGATGTGGACAGTCAACCATAGCCCGCGCTCCGTCAGTGCTTGGGCATGACAATCCCCCATTTCAAGCTCGACCATGTTCACTGCCATCTTCAGACCAAGCGGCTTTCTCACCCTGAGATCCCAACGATGTCTGCTTCACCAATTCCTTCCGCCAAGAGTTGAGTAATAAAGCACATCTACTGCGATCAGCATACACACCACTACAAGTAGGCGCAAGAACTCACGCAACCACAGAACAGGCCCACCCAAGCCAAGCAAACGCCACGGCCGCGATGGACGCGGCATCCTTTCGATATTCAAGGGGGACCCCGTCGCTATGGGCAGCCTCATCCAAGTATATAGTCACACGCGGCCCGACACTATCCCCGAACGACACCACCTTCGTCGCCGTGATAATGGTCAAGGCGATCGCATTAGCGAAGCCGATGAGACTTGGAACGACCGAGCACACGATCAGGACTCGGTAGGCAATGGTGCACCGGAGCACTTGCATGATGAGTATAATGAGAAGGATCAAGGATGACAGAAAGCTCGAGCATATGCTGTAACTAGCTGCCCCGATGTAGGCATTGTCGTGGATTTCGGCTTTGGGGACGAGACCCAGAAGGTAGCTGCGTTGGTTGAGGTACTCTGCTAACGTGGCCGCTCCAAGCGCAAAGGTGGCGATGTTGAAGGTAATGGCTAAGATCAGGACCAGAGCTGTGAGTCGGCTCATTGTCGTTTGAGGCGAGGAAGATAAACAGACCTATTTGCTGCTTGGAGAGAAGATTAGGGCCGCAGTTGGGAAAAGACGCGGTTTTAAGGGACCCGCGGCAAAGCCTTCTCTGGGTGATCGGAGATACGCCGCCGTGCATTTCTAGCGTCGGAGCAATTTCTTCTGATGTATAGCTTTAGCTTGACGGACTAGCGATCATAACGTCCAGAACTTTATGAAAGATGGCATTTGAGTGCCTCGACATGGTCCGACCGTCCCGCATGTTATCAAGAATAAATTGCCACAAACGCCATATGTTCTTGAGATAAATGAGGTTGAGACCGGTGATAATCAAGCGAGATAACAATCTAAGTCCTTTCTACATTTTTGGCCGCGGAAATACCACGCTGCCAACCAGTCAAGCAATCAATCCACCGGACTAAAAGTTAGGGTTCCCTCGCAAACCGCCCCCAAATTCGGCAATCGAGCCCCGCTGCGAACTAACCAGCAGCGGGTTTACTCTCCACAATGAGCCGGGCCGACACCTTTGACCCTACAGGCTCATTGGCGAGAATGAGAGTAGAGATAAGATGACCTGCGCTACGTAGAATCACATGGCTTCCATAGGTCTGGAAAAACGAATTTCTCGCTATAGAGAATGGCAATGCATTCGAGTCGGTGAATGGTACGACCAGATCCCAGGTGCCACACCGAGCTGGTGTATATTTACAATAATCGGACAATTCATTTAAAGGAGCAGAGCAGTTGTGAATATATATGGAGATCTTGTCAGCACCCATAATGCAGGATTTCGGCTGATGATAGACCCCAGAAGACTGCTAGGACCCGCCCTTCTCTATTCGAAGGCTCCGCGAGAAAGTGATCGATGGACATCGGAGAGCCCTTCACAATGACAAAGCCTTGCTCAGGAAGTACTGACGAGAAGGGGATAGAAAGCCAGGCATGATCAGGGGCGCAAACCCGAGCACTCGCTGTAGCTTGCTGCACCGACGCAAAGCATCCCGGACAAAGATCTGCTGCGCAGACCCGACATTTGTTGCAGGGAGCGGAACTGTCATATTCTTGCTTACAGAAATCACAGAACCAGGCCCACGGAAGAAGCCAGTCATCTGGAAGCGTGGACTCGAGGCTGTCCTGTGGTGCATCGCGGATTGCGTGAAACAGAGAAATAGCGTTGGCGTCGTCATCCGCCGCGACCAGAATGGTGAATAGCTTGTAGAAGGCATCTGCTCGCCAAGCGGGGTCAATGTCTTCGAGACGAGCGAGGGAAATCTTGATATACCCCCGGAAGTACGGCCGTGCCTGCTCTGCGTCGCCATGACCCAGGTGCCAGCGTCCCAAGTATAGGCCGGCTTGGTTCTCGATGGAAGTGTCGCGGGTGAGGGGTACCTCCCTCAACCATCTGGCTAGATTGGTGACTTCGTGCAAGAAAGCTCCGGTGTCTTTGGGGTCTTTCAAAGCATCCACATAGAGTTGGTATGCATAGGATGACTCGGTGACTGACCTCGACTGGGTCATCTCCCAGTGACCGTCCATGTCCACGCGGGGCAGACTGAGAATCTGCCTCCATATAGCCTTAGCATTGTGGGGTTCGTTCATGAATCGACTATACAGTTGGGCCAAGCAGACGTCGAGACAAACCACAACGGTAGACCGCAGATCCTGCAACGCAGCTGCCCTTGCGTGTCGATATCGATCCGCCAGCCATTCTAAAGACCCCATGGCGTGGGCAGCAGTCGCACAGGCCTCGAGAAAGCGACTGTCCGCCCTTCTGTACTGGATGAGGCAGTCATCCAGAAACGTCTCAGTATGGTGCTCAGGTTCACAGTCCATCGACCTCAGCAAGCGCACTATTTTCCCATAATTTCTATATGGGGGCATGGTGAGTTGGTAAACTAATGCTTCGGCAAGTTTGCGAATCCGAATGCTGTAGGATCCCAGCTGTAAGCACGAGTGGAGCCATGTTGCAGCCTCGAGACAATCGCCTTGTTCGAAATACAACTCCGACAGAGTCAATCGCAGCCTTGACAGACTGTGTGGCGACACCAGCATGTCAAGATCGGAGTCCTCATGGCCGGGCTCCTGCTGTTCGAGAAGTGACTTCGTGTACAGTTTCTCGGTTTCGACGTAAATGTCGATTGCTTCGCTGCGCTTGTGTTGTTTCAGGTAAATTCGAGCAATGTCCAAACTGGCAGCGACTGATTTCGGTTGCAGGCTCAGCGACATCTCCGCATAATGTTTTGCATCGTCCAGATGCCCTAGATTGGAGAGGCAGCTCCCGACCCTTTCATGCCACAGCGCGTCTTCTTCCAGCTTCGTCCATCGAGCGGCCTCAAGCACGATTTCTGTACTGGGCGTCTCGCGCATAATTTTCACATCGCCGTCTTCGGAGATGATTTTGACCGCCCACAGGAGACGGAAGCACTCCGACGCAGTCCAGGCGCTCTCCTTCAGCCAACCCTCAGCGGCATATTCACCCATGACTGAGAAGATGCCGCCCGGCTTTTGGCGACAGGATGACAGCCATTCTGTAATCTCGTCATCTCCTTGGTCGGCTGAACATGATGTATCATTCAAGAGACCTTCGATGAGGCGGTAATCCCCAGCAGCGAAGAACTCCCAGTCATCCGGGTTCAGCCAATGTACGCAGTCAGGAGCTGACAGTAGTCTGCGGAATAAAGATGTTATCTCGCGTTTGCTGTGTGGATCGAGCTGGTCGTTGCTGATCAGATGCCTCAGATAACTCAGCCACTGATTCTGCGCATAAATAATAAGTGAGACCCTTCCGTCCTTGTTCTCATCCTCCGCAATGCCGTCTTGGAACAGCTTCAGGCAGCGTATTAGGACCTGGGTCCGCGCCTCAATGATATTCACACCAACAGGCACAGAGCCAGAGCTATCGCGCACCTTTCCGTAAGCGGGATTGCGGAGGTACTCGCCGATCGATGCATGGCGGAAAACGACACGAGTGGTCTCCTTGTTGGACTGAAATTCGAGGAGATCATCGCTCGTCCGACCCTCGGCGAGATAGGCTGCGACCTCTGCACCCTGAAGGTCGGCTGTAGTCAGGCCATCGTCTCGAAGGAGGAGAAAGAACGAAGCGTATTGTACTCGGAGCATGGTCTCAAGGTCAAAGACTCCATCCCCGCCCGGCGAATCGTACTGCAGAATGTAGTCCAGCTGACGCAAACTCAGTGGAACATCTGAGCAAGCCAGCCATGCAAGCATCGTGTTCAAATTCTCCGCTTCTTCTGGGTCAAGTTTCGCGCTGAAGCCTCGCAGAACATGCTCCAGCATCTCATCCAATCCCCTCGGGGCTCTTTGCAGGCTATCCAGCATACTGCTCGCTCGCGTCTTCCGGCTCAACTCGCGCAGCATCAGGTCGGCCCACAGAAACATCCCTTGGGATTTTTCGATGAGTTTGTCTTGGACTTTTGCTGAGAGATCTCGAGGAATGCGACTCAAGATACGAGTTCGTCGCATGGTGGTTTCGATTAATGCTCGGATGTCAGCAGAGTTCTTCGCTGCGTCAACGTGAATGCAAGGTATGGTGTTGATCGTTTCATTGAGCTCAGCGTAAATCTCAGGCCTTCCGACTAGTAGAATCTTGATCTGAGAGGCTATAGATGGTCAGTCTGTGAAGAGAATCGGCTTGTGCGAGTACTCACCACTCCCGGAAGGTAGATCTGACAGCAGCTCGAAGAACTGCTCCCGATCCGCCTGAAAGGCTTCGTCGAGACCATCCAATACAAGGACCACCCGACCAGTTGTTCTTCGCTGCACCATATAGTGCTGAGTGTATAGCAATCTCCACGTACTGCGAATAGTCTTGATATCATCTGGAGAGCTGAGGTGGGCTTCAAGATATGCCTTGTACGCGGCGTTGTTAAGGTAAACCTGGTGAGCGCAATCCCGCAGTGCCTGGCTGAATGACTTGGTCTCAGTGTCACTGTTACTGAAGAAGAAATACGCGATCGAGCCACCGCTGCTTCCGCTCCCAGGTTGCAGCTCGTTTAGAAAGGAGATAACGCGTTGCGAAAGGACCGATTTCCCGCTGCCCGGACTCCCACAGACAGCCAACATCGGTGTCTGCCCCTCATCAGCTACCCATTGTCGAAACAACGGTTCTGCAAGAATCCAGTCTGCCGTCCCCGCCACCCTCTTCTTTGCCAGACTCTGATACGCATCGGCTGGGTGTACCGAGGGCTTGAGAATCTCCCGGATGGCTGTCGGTGATTTCTCCTGCCTGGCCGACGACGCTGTCACCGTCTCGCGCACCTTGTGCATTTCCTCCCGGAACTCATTACGAAAATTCTCCTGTCCCAGGACTAATACCCCCAAGTCATCGCTGACCTGGTCCATCTGATGCGCGGTGCGCTTCGTTTCCGCCCATGTCTCCGCCGCGACCAGCCGGTTCTCACTCTGGCACAGCTTCTCCAGTTGGTTGAGGAGACCCTGCAGCTTCTCATCGCGACCCAAGACCGCGTTCTTCGCGAAGGCCAGAGTGCGACCCAGCGTTCCACCCCAGATGATCTTGACGGAGCGACCAAAGACTTCCAGCAGAATTACGAGGATAGTCACCAGCGTGCTGCGGAGCTCGGGTGTCGCCTGACTTACAGCATAGATCTTGAGCCGTGCGAGGAAGTCCTGTTTTCCTGACTCCTGTCAGGTTCCGATATACCGTATCTCGGAGGATCGGGTGCAGACCTTGAGGGTCTCGATGAGACCAATAATGGAATCATAGAGCGACGATACGCCACGGGCAGCATCAATCAACAACGTCAGGGCGGCAAAACATGCAGCGCTGGGCGGAAATACCACCGAGGTCCCCGTGGAGATGACGTTGGTGAGTGATTCGATCGGTTGACACAGTGTACTGAGGTTGTGGAACAGCACAGAGCGCTTCTCCCGGAAAGAGAGAAAGTCGGTGTTTCTAGCGTCGAGGAGCAGGAGCAGGTCGTCAGCTGAAGCGGGGTTGGGAAATGCGGGGCTGTCGAGGTCATGGCCTGTGATGGACTTGTAGCGCGCTTTGGCTTGATCCCAAAGGTAATCAAAGTGTTCTGGTTGGGCCATGAATCAAGATTTCTGGTCGGGAGTTAGGGCTAATGGAGAGCAGGGTAGGGAAGGTAGGGCTGTAAAGAGAGCAGAAGGTGAGTGAGTGAGCGAGTGAGGGTGAATGCAGTGAGGGGTAAACTTAGAGCATCCCATGGGTGGCGGGCGGCTGATCCCGAAGCTGACTAGCGTGTCGGTATGTGACAACGCCATGCAGAAATTAGTCTTGGTCAATTCTTGCTTAATCTGTATGTAGATGCTTGCTATGCATGCTTCATTGTACCTACATATCTAGTTCACTTCGCTTAGGCTCGATAACTCGATCATCTCCGGAGACGACTGGTGCCAAGACCCGAGTGTACATTCTTCAGCAGCTTTACTTTCGGTCAAATATCGGCGTAGCGAGCCTCCAGAAGACCTCATTTGCTGGTATCTCCTTTACCAAGACTTCCAAGACCCGGCTAGCAGCGGCCAAGGCCCGTGCCGAATCGGGATGTAGGTGACTCTAAGCGAGGAACAATATGCCTATAAAGCACCACGTCTCTTCAGGCATTTCTTGATCGCACTGCAGCCAGCTCAAGAAGATAACAGCCATGAAGAGCTCTTCTATCCTCGCGCTCGCCGGGTTGCTGACCTCCGTGGCCGGCCATGGCTATCTCACTATCCCATCTAGCAGAACCCGACTAGGGTTTGAGGTATAGCGCTCCCCTCTACTTTTCTGTCCTATACTGAGTGAACGGAACGTAGGCTGGTATCGACACATGCCCCGAGTGTGCTATCCTCGAGCCTGTTACCGCATGGCCAGATCTCGAGGAGGCCCAGGTTGGCCGCTCCGGACCATGCGGATATAATGCCAGGGTGAGTGTCGACTACAATCAGCCCAGCGACAACTGGGGTAACTCGGTCGTCGCGACCTACACGGCTGGGGACACCATCGAAGTGCAATGGTGTGTCGACCACAACGGTGACCACGGCGGCATGTTCACCTACGGTATCTGCACGAACCAAACACTCGTCGACCTCTTCCTTGACCCGGATTATCTGCCGACCAACGACGAAAAGCAAGCTGCTGAGGACTGCTTCCTGGCGGGTGAGCTGAAGTGCACCGACGTGAGCGGCCAGACGTGCGGCTACAACCCCGACTGCACGTCGGACCAGGCCTGTTATCGCAACGACTGGTTCACATGCAATGCGTTCAACGCAGACACGAACCGCGGCTGTGAGGGGGTGGACGGAGCAGCGCTGAATTCCTGCACGACCACAATCGCAGGCGGATACACTGTGACCAAAAAGATTAAGGTGGGTGGACTCGTGCATCTTCTCCATCAAGCAAATACTAATACTGGGAGCTATCTAGCTTCCCAACTACTCCTCCGACCATACCCTGCTTCGATGGAGATGGAACAGCTACCAGACCGCGCAGGTCTATCTCGGGTGCGCCGATATCGCCATCACCGGCGGGTCAGGCTCCGGCTCCTCCAGCTCGTCATCATCTTCGAGCAGCAGCACCAGTAGCACGACTAGCAAGACTAGCAGCACGACTACGAAGACCTCCAGCACAACTACTTCCGCGACCTGCACCGCCGCTACCAGCGTTGCGGTCACCTTCAACGAGCTGGTCACGACGACATACGGCGAGAATATTTTCCTGACCGGATCGATCAGCCAGCTGAGCTCGTGGGACACCTCCTCCGCAATCGCACTCTCGGCCTCCTCGTACACCTCCTCCAACCCCCTGTGGACAACCACGGTCACGCTCCCCGCTGGCACGACTTTCGAGTACAAGTTCATTAAGAAGGAGTCCGACGGGACGGTGGTATGGGAGAGCGATCCGAACCGGTCGTACACTGTGCCGACCGGCTGCGCGACTGCGGCAACGGTGACTGCCACTTGGAGGTAGAAGTGTCTATCAGATTCAGGGCCGATGCAGACATGTCGGATGGCCGTGACCCGCGACATGGAGATAGACCTCTGTGCTGTGGGTGAGTTGGTCGAACTAGGTTCTACAGTTGAACCTATATGAAGCAAGCAGTTTTCATACTTTCGATACCAACGTACAAAACTCCTGTCTATAGAGGTGATGAGCCTCTGAAAGTAGTGACGGCTCGGTCTACATCTTGTTTTTGATGTGTAGATGCAAACCAGCACACGTGGCAGAGCCTAGAACAGGATTCATTGACAATCGAATGCATTCCTAATTATCATTGTCTAACCTAATAACCACTCGTTCTGTAGTATAATGGTTTGGTTCATTTGTCCAGGGTACTTGCAGGATGTAATACAAGCCTAAGAGCAACTGGAACCTGTCTAATGTACTTAGGGCGCGGCCGGAAAATATACATCATAGCAGGCCAAGGGGGTCTGTATAGAGCCTTTTCTACTGTTAATAATAGTAGTATTTAGTTATAAAGAGTGATTATTAGTTATTATACAGTTGTAATACAGTTACAATACAGTTATAGTATAGTTAGAATACAGTTATAGTAGTAAAAAATAGTTTTAAAATAATAAATATTGTTATATAATAGAAAGAGTATATTATAGAACTGTATATAACTAATATTAAAAATAGATTATTTAATAATTAATTTTAATACTAATAGTTATCTTAAATATTATAGAAGTTTCTTATAGTTTATTTTTATATTAAATTAGTTATTTTTCTATTCTTTAACTATAGGTTAAGAAGTAATAATAATATTATTAAGATTTTTAAATATATAAAATAATATTTTAAAATATAAAAATAATAGAAATCTTTATAATATTTTATATAAAGTTAATATTCCATATATATTATATTAAAATTATTAAGGTTAGAAAAGTATAAATAAACTTTTATAAAAAATCTAATATAAATACTTTTTTAATATTAGGATTAGGATTTATTAGAGCCTATTTACTTAAATATTTAAAATAAAAAAGTATTAATAAAAGATCTTTTTAAATTATTTATAAAGATTTTATAAGAAGAAATATAAAATATTAATAATTAAAATAGTATATAATCCCATAAGAAAAATAAAATAGAATAAAATAATATTAAATAAATAATCGATTATAAAGTAGATAGAAACTAATAAATATTAATAAATATAATATAAAAAATATAAAAAATTATAAACTAATTATTTAGAAATCTTAATATAACTCTAAAAAAATAATATTATACTATTATACTGGATTAGAATATTTTAAGAATACTTTATTAAATATATTAATAAAAATATCTTAAAAATTTAATTTATTAAATAGACTCTTAGTTTTTTAAAATCAAGTTATCTAAACAGAATATATTTTTTAATTATAGAATTATATTTATTCGGTAGAATATAATAATTTAAAAACTATAAATATAACTGGTAAAGCTTTAAGATCGATTAAATTTAAATAAAAAAGTTATAATTCTAAATACTATTAAATCCAAGTTGCAGAAACTATTAAATCTAATTTATTTAAAAAAAATAGATTATAAGATTATATAGCAAGACCTGATCTGTCCAGATCTTATAAATTCTAAAAATAAAAGTAAAAGTAATTAGAGTTAAGATTCTAGATAATAAAAAAATTATTTTATATTTATTTATATTTTTATTCTTTATTTAATATATTATAGTTTATTAATAGCTTATACTTTATAATAAATAATAAAAAATATATTCTAATATAAATATTTGAAACAGTAAGATTTTAGAATTATTTATTTTTTAAAATTAGTAGTTTATCTATAAACAGTTAGCCAGTTATTTATATTATAGAAAATAAGATATATTACTATTAAATATAAATTTTTTTAAATCTTAAGATTTAAGTAATAAAGTAATTATAATAAAATACTAAAAAGCTTTTTAATTATATATAATAAATCGGAATATTATTAAGATTAGAATAATATAATATATTAAAGTTGTTAAAATTTTTTAAATAATAACAGTACAGATCCAGATAATATATTCTAATAATAAACTTAGTTTAATTTATAGATAAAGTATTAGAAGTAAAACTAAAATATATTTAAAATATTTTTAATAAAACTAAGTTTTATTAGTTTTATATTATAAGACTAGTAAAAGTAGAATAAGTACTTATTCAAGTTCGAATAATATTTATATTTAAAAATATTTAAGTACTGGCAGACGAGACTAATAAATAAATCTAATAATTTTTTAAAATACTATAAAATATTTCTTTATATTTTTTAGATTTAAAATTTAAAGTATAAAATTTTAAAAACAGAGACTAAGACTCTTCTAATCTAAATAAAAAATATTATATAGTCGACTAAAAATAAGATTTAATAATAATATAAGTAATTTAAATAATAATAAATAAAATAATAAACTTTTTAAACTAAGAAACTAAATCTATTTAATAAATAAGAAAAAACTCTTTATATACTTTTAGAATAACTTAATCTTAAAATAATATTAACTGTATAAAAAAGAGTTAAATTTTAAGTTATATCTACTATTTTTTAAATAATAGTAAATATAATATCTAAATTTAGTACTATAACTTTAAGTATTAGAATTTTTTACTTATTAAAATATATTACCGGTAAATATAATAATAAATATAATAATAACTGTGCGTACTCTATAAAGATATATATAAAATTTTTAAAAAAAAATTTAGATCTTTTTTTAAAATATTTAAATATTATTTTCTATTTTTATACTATAAGAACCCAGTATTAGAATAAAAAAATTATTTAAATAATATTATTTCTGGTAAGTTAATTCTGCTGGAATAAAATAAAAAGTTTTTAAAACTTTATATATATTTTAATATACTTTAAAATTATTAATAAATAGTAGAAATAGGATTAATCGGATATTAGACTGCTCGGATAACTACTAAAAATAGCTATATTTATAATATTTAATTTTTAATTTTATTCGAAGAAAATATATTTTAATATATTATCGAAACTTGCAAGTAGGTAAATAAAGTATATAAAAAATAATAATTAAATTATTATTTAAAATAGTCTAATAAAAGAATATAAAATTAATTTATTTTAAAACTAATAATATTAAGATCTCTAAATACTCTTAATATTTAACTAAAAAGTAAGAATAGTTATAATCTAGTTTAAAAAAACCAGAATAGTTTTTACAAAGTCTAAATAGTTAGTATTATTCTAATACTAATTATATAGTTAGAATAATCTAATTACCGGTAAAAAAGAATATTTGTTTATTAAGTTTTATAAAAATAATCTAATTATATTAAACAGGAACTTTATAGTCTTAGAGTATCTTATAATTTATTTAAATAAAATTATCTAGTAGTAATAAATCTTTATTAAAAAAAAATATATATTTATTAGATATAATTACTAGAAAGAACCCCTATATATAAAAATATTAAAGTTTAACTAGATTATTAGAGTACTTAGTTATTTTAAAATATAGTTTTTTCTAGCCAAGCTAAGATAATAAAATATAATAAAATAGTTCTAAAAGATTATATATAATTTAGAATTCTTTTAGAATTTTCTTAATAAGATTTTTTTTAGATAATAACCGAGAAGAGGACTATATTATTAGATTAATATTAACTTTATATTTTTTAGTTAAAAGAAGAAGTAAGAATTTTTTAACAGCTTGTTTAAGAATATCCAGCTTTTTTAAAAAAGTTTAAACCAAAGAATTATTAAATAACTAAAATATTTATATTAAGCTAGTATAGTTTTCTTAAGAAATCTCTGTACTAAAAGCCCAGATTTTAAAAATAAGAAAAAAATTAGATAGAGAGTCTGTAGATAAAATTAAAAGCTATTTATAAAAAACTAATTTAACAGACTTCTATTTATTATAGGCTTAAGATAAGAAGAGTATTCTAGAAGAAAATATAACCTATTTTAAGATATATATATTTCTATTAAATAAATATTATCGGTATTATTAAGAGAGGTATTATTAAGAAAGATATTATTAAGAAAGATATTATTAAAAAAAATATTATTAAAAAAGATATTATTAAGGAAGATATTATTAAGAAAGATATTATTAAAAAAAATATTATTAAAAAAGATATTATTAAAAAAGATATTATTAAGAGAGGTATTATTGAGAGAGGTATTATTAAGAGAGATATTATTAAAAAAAATATTATCAAGAAAGATATCATTAAGAAAAATATTATTAAAAAAGATATTATTAAGAAAGATATTATTAAGAAAGATATTATTAAGAAAGATATTATTAAGAAAGATATTATTAAGAAAGATATTATCGAAAAAAATATTATTAAGAAATATATTATTAAGGGATATATTATCAAGAAAGATATTATTAAAAAAAATATTTAAGTTTATTATATATTAAATTATTAATAATATATAAAATATTAATAGAAGAAAGACTTGGTATTAGTCTAATACTAGAATATTCTTACTATCAGATTTCTGTTTGTTAAATAAATAGAAAGTCTTAGTTTCTAAATAAATAAAAAGTTAGTTGAATTGTAGATATAATAAAAAAGAGGATATACTTAATAAAACTATCTAACTAGATATTTTGATTTTTAGACTATTAGACCAGCGAAAAATATAAAAGCCTGATTCTTTTATTTAAGATATATTTTTAGCCGTAAAAAGAATTAATATATAAAATAACTAAAAAGCTTAAAGTAATAGAATAAGAGAAAAAGACTACTAGTAATATAGTATCTACTAAAAAAAAAAAATAGAGTTTATAAAAAAATAGAATTAAATCTTTTTTTTTTTAATAAACTATATAATAATAATAATACAAGTTAGATTACTATTATAAAATTAATAAAGATATATTATTATAAAAATATTAATAAAATATTAAGTTTAAGAATTATAAATATTAATTTAGAAGTAGAAAAAATAGATATAAAATATATTTACAAATATCTTATAATATATTTAAAAAATAGACTTATAGTATTATACTATTAATTAAGATTAAGATATATTTATATATTTTAGTATACTAAGTAGTAATACTAGTAATTAAAAAAATATAAAAATATCTTTAAGTTATTAATTATTACTATTTAATATTATTAGTAAGTAGTATTAAGAATAGTTATTATATTCTTTTTAATTATAATATTTAAAAAAAGTTTATTTATTTTATTTATATATTGTAATATGCTTTTCTAAAAACTTATTTTTTTAATATAAAGTTAAAAAAGATAATTTTAATATTTTTATAAAATAATTTAAAAAAATTGCTGTAGAGGACTACTAAAAAAATATAAAAACTATTTATTTTATTTTCTAGATTATAAATATATATTTTATTTTTTATATAATTTGTATTTTTTATATATACTATAATTATAATATAGTTATTTATTTTTATACTTTATTTTTCTATACCCAAATCCTTATATTTATACGAAAATAAAAAAGTAAAAATAAATATACAGTTTTTTACTAGACTTAACAAAGCAGTAAAATAAAAAAAACTTAAGATTTTTAATAAAAAGCTGCTTAATATAAAAACAGCAGATAATATTAATATTCTTAATTTTAACAGTCTTAAGAATCTGTAGGAATTTATTAGAAATATATTATTATTAAAAATCTTTAAAAAAAAAACAGTAGTAATAAAATATATATAAATAAAACTAAAACAGACACAGTAGCAGACAGTTATATTTTAATAAAAAATTTTAATAATTTTAGTATAGTTTATCTTACAGAACTTTTTATATATATTATATAAATACCAAAGTACGAGTTGTAGCGGAACTAGATATTAAAATTTTTAATTTTAAAAAAATATTTTTTATTAATCTAAAAAAAAATTAAGTATTAGCTGATATTTGCTATTAACTTTTTTACAGACAGATATTATAAATATATTATATTAAAACTAATAATTTTATTATTAGTTTTTTTAATTTTATAAAGCTAGATCAGAAAATACTAGAACTATAATTTAATAATAATAATATTAGATATAAAAATATATATATAGTACAGCTTAAATATAAAATTAGCTTTAGTAAATAAATTAATATTTAATAATCTAATATTTTTAGAAATATTCTATTAATTTTAGTTAGAAAATTAATCTAATAGTTTAAGTTAAAAAGCTGCTTAATAAAACTGCAACTTAATAATAATAATATTAGATATTAAAGTATATATATACTAAGTATAGCTTAAATATAGAATTGGTCTTACTTAATAAATAAATAAATAAAATTAAATAATAATATTTTTTTTATAATAAAAAACTAAGTTTAAGAACTAATCGAAAAAAAAATAAAAAAAAAATTAGATATATTTTTTAATAGTTTTTTTAAATTTTAAATTAAGCTTATTTTTTTATTCTATTTTTTAAGCTGTATTAGAGGCCTTATTAGAATTACTAATATTAAAAAGATTATATATAAAAGAATTTATAGTTATTTTTTTATTTAGCTTGTTATTTATATTAATTTAATTCTAATAATTCTAAATCTGTATATCTAAAACTGCTTAAAAAAAATCTATAATAAATAGTTTCTAAAACTTTTTATATATATATAAGCTGTTAAATATTTTTATTAAATACTTATAATCCTATTTATATATCTAAATAATATAGTTATATTTTTTTTTTTTAATAATTTTAAATATTAATTACAGTTTGGTATGCTGCTTTGTTAAATAAGCCTAAGTTATAAGTTAAAATATATTATTTAAGAATCTAATTAGTTAATTTATAATAAGAAGATTAAAGATTTTTAGATTTATATTTAAGCTATTTTTATTTTAATTTTAAGTAGTTATTAATAGAAACTGCTTTTTATACCCAGATAAAAATATTTACTAACCAGCGAATTTTATAGATTAAATTAAATATTTAATATAATTAGTTAAAATTATTATACTATTTAATATAATTTTTCTACTTTAAAAACAGACAGTTAAACTATTTATAAGCTTATTACTCTATAAAATATAAGATTCGGAATTTTTATATTTTAAATAGTTTTTAAATTTGTTTTTCTATTTTTTAGTATATTAAATAGCTTGGTTTTAATTTTTTAAATATTATTTCTATTAGCTATTAAAGTTGGAAATTATTAAGACTTAAAAAAAACTACTAGCAAGTAAATTATATTAACTTAGTCTAAGCTTTAGAATTTTTTAATTATTATTAGTTGTGGCTTTCAGATTTTAATAAAAAGATTAAAATCTAAATAATAAAATCTAATTTAAACTAGAATAAAAATAAAAAATCACTTTTAAAAAAAACAGAATTATAAGCAGTTTTAGATATTTAGATATTTTAAATAAAATATTAAAATTTTTGATTTTCTATTTTTAAAAGTTCAGAAAAGTTTTTTTAATAATTAGAAAAAAGATATAAAAACTCTGAATCTAATAATAAATATCTTATTAGTCTAGAACCAGATAATACCGGATTTGATTAAATAATTCTTTAAAAATTTTCTATTTTTTTAATTTATTATAATATACGCTGGAAAGTAGATTATAATATAATTAGAAAATTTTAAATTTTTATTATAGATTTTAAAAACTAATCTTACTGCTGAGATTAAAATAATTTATATAGATTAAGCTCTTTTAAAAATTTTAGAATTTAAGAACTATTTTAAATAGACTTTTTATTAAAAATATAAATAAAAGCAGTCTTCTATCTTTTTATTTTCTGTAATACTAGCTGATTTTAAGCGTTTTTTAGATTAGATTTTTTTTCTGACTGTTATAACTAATTAGTACTATATACTGTTTAGCTAAATATTATTAAATATTATATATCTATATATATTCTGATTTTTAAGAATTATCTATATATACAGTATTAACTAATAATTATAATCTAAAGTCTAAACTAATTTTAGTATAGAATCTAATATTAAAATAAATAAGATATATTTATTTTATTATATAATAGATTCTAGTAGTTAGACTGTCTCTTTTTAATATTTATTTTTTTTTTTAGAATTTGATTTATTTATTAGTATATTAAGTTAGATTTAAAACATACCTAGTTAATACTAGAAAATTATTTAAATTCTAATTCTTATACGTTGTTTTATATTTTATATTTTTAATTATATAATTTTTTAGACTTTATAATATAATTTTATTTTTTATATTATAAATATATACTTATCTGAGATATGTTTTATATATAATAAGTTGCTATATTTTAGAAGTTTATTTTTATTAAAAAAATATATATTAAGCTAATATATTTCTCTTTAAATAAATTAATAAATTAGGGGGGACTTGGATTAAGCTAATTTAAATATCTTTTAGAAAGTAATCTGCTTGGATATATTTCTAATAATTTATTTAGTATTTTTTTTTTAGTATTAGTATTTTTTTTTCTAATATTAGTAGTTTTTTTTTTAGTAATAATATTCTTTTTTCCAGCAGCAGCAGTCTTTTTAATATTATTAGTATTTTTTTTTCTAATATTAGTAGTCTTTTCTTTAGTAGTAGTATTTTTTTTTTAATATTAATATTCTTTTTTTTAGTATTAGCAGTCTTTATTCTGATTTTATTATTTTTTTTTATCTTTTTATATAGATTTTGTTTTTTAGTATTTCTAAAGTCTTCGGAAGCTATATTTTTAAGTAAAAAAATAAAAATTTTAAAAACTTATTTAAAATTAGTAATATTACTTTTTTTAGAAGATATTCTATCTTCGAGATATATTATCTTATTATTTTTTATAATAATTTTAAGTATACTAATATCTTTTTTTTTAGAATTTAGAATTAATATTAAAGACTCTGATAGTTTAATTATTAAGCTAAAAAGAACTTTATTATTTAACCGATTATTTAATATTACCTGAAATATATTAAGAATATAATACTTAAAAATATAAATAATCTTTTTTTAATCTAACTACTAAAAATATTTTATAGCCTGTTCTTCTTGGGCGTATAATAATAGTATATTAAAAAAATATATATTTTAGTAAAATTTCTAAAAATTAAGACCGGTCGAGTTAAGTTAAAAAAATATAATTAGAATTATATATTTCTTAGGCTTTTTTATAAAATATATAATAATATTAGTTTTTTTTTTATTATTAGATTACTGTAGATTATCTCTGTATTAAATCCGGTTTTTTATAAAGTTATTAAAATATAGAACTCTTTTTTTAAAAATTATATTTATATAATTAACTTTTTTTTTTAAATTATATTAATATATACAAAACTCTTAATATAATTTATATTTTTAATACTTTTCGGATAAGTATAGCTAGTTACTCTGTATCTATTTATAAATTATTTCTGTTTTTCTACTAAGATTTAGATTATATATAGAATATCTTAATAATAATAGTATTTTTAACTTGTTTCTGTTCTTATAAATATTATATCTATTTAGATACTAGCTTGCGTTTCTTTTATAAATTAACTGTTTTAAAAAAATCTGTTTTTAGAAGAGTCGGCTTAAATAAAATCATACTAAATTATAAGACTTTTAAAATTAATTAATAAAAATATACTATAGTCTACTAGTACTGTGGATTTTCTCTGTCTAACTAGTTAAGTATTATAATATAGTAATTTTTAATTTAGTAAGTTTTATAGACTTCTTATTTTTTAGAATTAAACTTTATATTAAATATTTTATATATTATAGAAGGAATATTTTTACTAATTATCTGGCTACTTTTAAATAGAATTATAAATATAAGAATTTTTTAGATTATTAAATATTTTAGAAGAGTATAAAACCATATTAATTATATTTTTTTATTTAGATCTGTATAAATAATATATTTTTTAAGAAAAATCTTACTAAAAATAAGATTTATATAATAAATATCTAAAAATATAGTTAGAGTCTTTTTTATAGCTATTAATTTTATTATCTTAGATATTAAATATTTTTTAAAAAGTAATTATAAGTATCTAATAAAATTATTATTATAGTTATTAAAAAAAATATTACTATAAATAAAAAATTAAAGTTGTTTTTAATCTATTATACAGTCTGGGATATTTTTAATATCTTATTATATAGATTATAAGTCTTATTTAGAATAATAAGCTTAAAATAATTTTTAATATTATTAGAATAATTTTTTGGATAATTTTCTTTATTTTTAAACTTATTTTTATACTTATATATATATTAGGCTTTAATATCTAAAATATTATAACAGCTTTTAAATATATTATAACTACTTAATATAACTATTAGATATTATTTTTATTTAATAAAGATTTTATAGTCAGCTGTTAGCTTACTATTAATTTATCTAATATTTTTCTAGTTTTATATTTTTTTATAATATATATATAGTACTAACTGCTTTATAATACTTAGAATCTCGGTCTGCTATTAGTAAATTAAATATAATAATATTAATATTAGAATCGGTTTTTTTAGTTTTTTTGTAGTAAATTTATTTTTAGACTTAGTCTTTTTTTTAAAATATACTATATACTTCTAAAAATTAGTTATAAAAATCTAATATTAAGATCTTCTAAATTACTTACTATAAGAATAATACTAATAAATTATTATATTTTTTTTAGTCTAATTATATCTACTAGTAATACTTTTTATATTATTTTCTTAATTATAATCTTAATAATAGTCTAGATTCTAACAGATTATTAGAATTTTAATATTATAAATATAACTATATCCAGTAAATACAGATACTTCGAATTTTTAATTTTAAGATTTTAGCAGGCTTTTAAATAATTTTTTTTTTAATAGTTAAGATTATTAATAGATTATTAGATTTACTCCAGCTTTTTAAGCTTTTTAAAAATAATTTTTATTAGATTATTTTTTTTATTTATTATTAGTAGAGCTTTAAAATCGGATATAACTAAGTATTTTAATATTTTAAAAATATTATTTTTAATATTTTTAGTAAATTTTTTAAGATTATTTTTATTTTTATTCTTATTTATTTTTTCGACGAGTCTTTCGGTTTTAATAAAATCTTTTAGCTTATTTAAAATTAGTATTTAATTTATTTTTACTGCTAACTAAAAAAACTCAGTCGGATTATAGATATTTAATTTATAGAAGAGTTATAGTTATTTTTTTTTATTTAAAATCTTAGCTTATTACTAGAGCTTGTTTTTACTAAGATTTAATTTAGAAACTTCGGTTTCTAAGTTTTTTATATTATTAAATAGTTTTATTACTATTTTTTCTGTATTCGTCTTTCTTTTTTTTTTAATATAATAATTTGACTTTCTAGTCTTATACAGATTTGTATCTTTTATAAGAATTTTTTATATTAATCTAATATTTAATATTCTTAATTATTTTATTTATTTTTAAAGTAAATAGTTTTAAAGACAAAGATTTCTTCTAACTTTTAATTAATTTAATTGGATAAGTATATTATAATAAAAATAATATAAATCTTTTAGACAGTTTTTTTTTTTTTATTATTATTTATATTCTGCCGGAAGAAAATATCTTTATAATTTGTTTTATTAGTATACTTTACTGTCTATAAAAAACAAGTAAGATAATTAGTTTTATTTTAGTTTTATTTATTTAAAATAAATATTAAGAATTATTATTATTTATTTATTTTATTACAGACTAAATATTTTTATACTATTTTTAGTAAGATGTTTTTTTTTTTTTTTATATATTTTAAGCAGTTGTCTTATAGTTTAATCTAATATAACTTAATTAATAATAATTTTAGCTAGTTAAGCTATGATTTATATAAAATTAAATATAATATCTTCTATAATTTTATATATTTTTTTCTAAAATTAAGTTCTGTTATTTATTTATTTTTATTTCTATTATTATTATTTAAATATATATTATCTAAAAGCTTTTTATATATAGCTAATAAGTAGATTAACTTACTATACAGCCCGGTTATATTACTAGATATTATAAAGAATTATTATATATTACAGAAGATTACTATATATTATAACAAAAAAAAAATATTATTATATATTATAAAAGATTACTGGACGTTGCTCTATAATTTTAAAAACTATTTATAAAAAGATATTAAAATCTTAGTTTTAAAGCTAAAATAGATACTAAAATTTAATTTTACTTATTTTACTTACAGATAAAAGAAGATAGATATTAAAAATATTAAAAATATAAACTTTAAAATATATTTAAAAAGATAAAAAGATTAGTATAGAGAATAAAAAAATAAAAAAAAGTTAATAAAAAAAATAAAAAAATAGAGAAAGATTAGTATAAAAAATAAGAAAATAAGTAATAAAAAATATAAAAGTTAAAATATATTATATAAAAAAGAGATTTTAGCCTTTAATAAATAATTATATATATAAGAAATTAGAAAGACTATATTAAGAAAAAAATAAATAGTAAAGTAAGATTTCGATAAGATAATATCTATTTTTAGTAAGATTTTAATAAAATAATATCTATTTTTAGTAAGATTTAGATAAGATTATATTTACTTATATTTTAATTTACAAAGTAGAATAGTTATAATAATAGTTTAAATTACTATTATAAATAAGTATAAATAAAAAATATAATAGTTAATATAATTCTAAGATTAAAGTATATTATAATAGTAAATAATATAAAAACTATTTTAAATCTAGTAAAAAAGGTATAGTTTTAATATAATCTATTATTTATATAAAAATTAGTACTTCTAGATTTAAAGGGCTTATAATTAGTCAGAATTTTATACAACTTTATTATAACTCTATATAACCGGAGCAAACCGCAGTACAACCACTGTAACTTACCCCCTCGGCCCGCTATGATCGATAATCTCCCAGTACTGAACCTCTCACTTCATTCTATCCTAGGCTTCTGTAAACAGATAAATTGACTATGTTATTAAATATATTTAGAATGTTCAATGCCAGTCAAAATTCAATGTAATTGGCAGGATGTCTAAATCTAAGCCAATCCAGACAGACACGGTCGACAATATACTGTCATAGAGTATAGAAGACCATTGCGGCCTCTCGGCAAATGAAACCTCCCTGTAAAATATTCTCACCGCAGCGGTCATCCGTATTCAGGCCAAATGGAGACAGCAACAATAAGCCAGCGAGTGATCTGCAGCCCTGCTCTCGTCACACACACCTGCATAAGTAAGCGTGCTTACTATCACGTGGTCTGTGCCCAGGGCGACTGAATGAGGGGTTGCAAAGGCAAACATTCAGCCGCATCAAATGCTATCCGTCTTGGGGCATTTTCACCGTTCGCATGCGGCCCCTTTCAATTGTGGATAATGGCTGACGCTATCTCCATAACGTCCCTGATTATCGATGTTGGCGATCTCATCCATCGCCTCCTAACATACGCCAAGAAAGTCCGTGATGCGAGCTCCGACATCCGCCGACTGACCGAGGAACTCTTCGGTCTCAAAGGGATCCTGGAACACCTGAGCTCGCAGTTTGAGTCTTCCTCGCCGCCAGAGACAGAAAAATTGGCTTCAGCTGCCCCTGAGCCGCTGAAAAGCACACTGGACAAGGCAAGCGAGTCGGTCCAATTCCTCCTTCAAGACCTAGAAGAGCCAGCAAGCAGGTTGAGGAGATTGAAACAAAAGCTGGAGTGGCCGTTCACCCAGGAACAATTCACTACCCACCTCACTCGCCTAGAACGAGTGAAATCTTGGCTGATTCTCCTTCCCACAAGCGATAACCTTGCTTTTCAGCGAGATCTCCACGGAAAGATAACAAGGCTGGCAAGGTCCCTGGAGGTAGACCTTAAGATACGAGATGACGAGAAAACTCGCGCGGCGCATAACGAACTGCTTCGATGGTTAGTCCCGGTCAGCCCGTTCAGTATCCACCAGCAAGTCTCGAGGGACCGAGTCGATCATACTGGAAAGTGGTTCGTTCATACGTTCAATGATTGGATTATGAGTGACGTCGTTGACCGGAATATTCTTTGTCTCTTGGGAAAGTGTAGGTACGTCAGGGTCTTTGTATGCTGAAAATGACTGACGGTCCTCTTCTAGCCGGAATTGGCAAGACCACTCTCTTGTAAGTCTTCCGAGCATCCTGCTCTGATTCAATTGACAGAATACCATCTCTTAGTGCCCACGCCGTCGACCAGCTGGCTGCAATCAGTGTCAAGGACCCCAGCATTGTCTTCGCCTACTTCTATTGCAGATTCAGTGACGCCAACTTTCAAAATCCGGTGAATATCCTAGGGTCGTTAGTGGCACAGATCTCTGAAGCAGTGCCGTCAATATTGGACAATATTCGGCCATTCTTTGAAGCTACAGAGTCACATCTACATCGACAGCCGATCGACATGAGTGCAGTGGCAGCTGCCATAATAAACTGTACACCGAATGGCAGAAGGGCCATTCTCTTGATTGATGCAATCAATGAAAGTGCATCCTATGAGGAGCTCATACGCTCATTGCTGAATATTTCGGAACTTACCCCAAACCTTCGAATCTTCGTAACCGGAACCAATGACATGATACCCGAAAGCCATGCCAGGATCATAAATATGAGTTCCAGTATCATCAGGGATGATATTGACACATTCATTCGCTTCAGATTGCAGCACGACTCGACACTCAGAAATTTGAGTTCGCGTTTACAGGCTCAGGTGTGGGAGGCTCTTATGGAGGGTACTGATGGATCGTCAGTTGTACCGGCCTGGAGTGCATAGTAAGATACCATGCTGATCAATTTTGACTGCTGCAGATTCCGCTGGACCCAGCTCTCTTTGGAGAATCTCGCCTCCCTCAGAACCGCGAAATCCATTCGGGAGGCATTGAGAACACTCCCAAAGACATTAGGAGAGGTCTATATCCACATGCTCGAGCGAATCAGTCCTAGTGACATGGAGCTTAGCCGTAATACTCTGTTTTGGCTCAGCTTTTCGAAGCGACTGCTCACCCTGTCGGAGCTGAGCGAAGTAGTCGTGCTAGAGGAGGCATGCACGGTGCTTGATGAAGACACCAAGCTGATCTCTCCCCGGATCCTGCTCCATATCTGTCAGGGGCTCATCACAGAGGATGAGTTCGGAAGAGTGAAATTATCCCATTCCTCCGTCAAGGAGTTTCTGACCTCCGACCGGATCCGCACCTCGAGCGTGCGGTACTTCGGTTTGGACCCGGCAACCGCCGATCAAACCATGACTCGCCTTTGCTTGACCTATCTGTGTCTCGACGATTTCCGCTCCGGGTACGCATGGTCATTCGATGAAGTAGCCGCACGCGAGCACGAGCACCCCTTCCTATCATACGCAGGCGCGTTCTGGGCGACCCACGGCGGAGCCTGCGATTTCGACGCGGATGGCGACCGTCAGCTCGTCAACAAGCTTTTCGACTCGCGGTGTCTGCCACGCCAAGGTAACTACGGTGTCTGGGTGCAGACGCTTATCCCCGAGGCCGAGAACCAGGTCATTGAAACCACACATCCGCTGTATTACGCCGCGTCATTCGGTCTAGTCCCGGTCGTCAAAGCGCTCCTGGCATCTGTGCCTGGTCTGGACGTTGACGCGCCCGGTGGCCGCTATGGATCCACGCCTCTATTTGTAGCCTGTTGGCGGGGACACTACGAGGCCGCGGGACTTCTTCTCGAAGCCGGGCCAGACCCATATCTCCCGGACAGCGGCGCAGGTGTGACGATTTTCTCGCTCCCGCACTCGGCTCAATTTGCCCAGTTGTTGGCGACTGTGCTTAGTAGACGGAAGCAGGGCACAGGGAGACATTTGACTGCTGCGCCTCACGCAGATAATGTTATGCCGAGTGCAGGGGCCCCACCTGCGCGTGGAGGGCTTGCGAGCCACACATTCCAGGGTATGAACGGGACTCAAGAGGCAGCAGATGCCCCGAACGGGGATGACACCAACGAGTCCGCCGACTCTGCCGAGCAGCAGCAGCTTGCGATCAATTCCCTGGTCGTAGTGCCATCGACGATCGACCCGACCGTGGAAGGGTTCGAACAGCAGATCCGACAACTGTTCCCCCGGCTGGACCCCCCAGCGTTGGTCCATCGACTTGCGCGCGAGCAGCTCCGCCGATACGACAGACTTGTCGCGCTCCAGCGCGCGCATTCGGCCGCCATTCGCAACCGCTCCTGTCCCTCCGGTCCGTATTGCTCTGCTGTCACTTCTGCGAGAGGAATCGCCTCCAGAGCAAGCGGTGGCCCCTGCTTTACCGCGCAGTTCGAGTGTCCCACCTGCTTTCAGGTCAAACAGTTTCAGAAAGCTGTAGACTGGCCGAAGCACGTCGCTGACGATCTGCAACCGTTCACATGCACATTTCCCGACTGCGCGAACCCACCGTCGTTCAAACGTAAAGCGGACTGGGTGCGTCATGAGACCCAAAGGCACTGGCAGTCGGAGAAGTGGGTCTGCTCCTACGACGGCTGCGGCTACCAGTGTTTTCGCCAGGACAATTTCGTGCAGCATCTCGTCCGGGAGCACGAGATGGCCGAGCCGAGTGTCGAGAAGAGCAAGGCCATGACGGCCACGCAAATAGCTCCTGATGCAGAACGGTATCTGGATGTTGAGACTCTGTGGGGATTGGTTCGAAAGTGTCACCATCACAGCCACACAGCTTCACAACAGGAGACCTGTCGATTCTGCGGAGAGACCTTTGACAGGTGGAAAAGACTTATGGTGCACGTGAGCAGACATATGGAGCAGTTGGCTCTCCCGGTTCTGGGGTTGGCGAAGCAATACGCTGGTGGTGTCGACAGGGTAGCCTCTCTTCACCCGACAGACACTCATCATGACGTAGCCGCGATTGATTAATTCTCCACATCCGATCGATGCGATCGAAGACCCAGATCTCGTGGCGCAGTCGCATAGCTCTATGTCACTGTGTCTGGCGTCAAGGTATAAATTTAGGGCTCATCTTCAGGTGTAGTCTCGAACTCTATAGGATATGCGGACAGATTCCGCCTTCCCAGACGGGACTTGAACCCTAAGAACCACCATATTGAGACAAACTCCGATTGTTGAATGGAATGTATATCGAGAAGACGAATCGTGACATCACAAGAGGTCAATCAAATCAACAAAGGACCGGGAGTAGAACAACATCTCCGTACTACCCCTTGGAACTTAGAAGATAAATGTATTCCTCAGTTTCCACCCCGAGTACCGGCAAAGAGAGCAATTCACATCCAACTAAGAAAAAGGCAAGACCACATGAATCTCGATGATGAGTGAGACTTCGTCACCATACAAAAGCTTGAACCAGCGGTGTACGTGTTCTGACCACCAAACCGCATCGTCATGAAGCCGTCCAACAACATCTGATGAACCCGATCGGTCTGGAACTCCTGGACCAGCTGCCACAAGGACACACGGAAGAAGGAACCATCAGCGCGGTGAAACCGCTGGCCGAGGAAATCCACGTAGATGGTGTATGTTCCCACGCGGCGGATTGGGTACGCCGCCCAGCCCGTGTTGCCCCAATTGTCGTTGACGATCTGCTAGGCAATGGTCATCGCTGCGGTTGGTGTGAGGATCGCCGTCGGTAGCTCGGCGGTGTGCGTCGTCAGGATGTGGTGGGTCTGCGCGTAGCCGTTCATCACGGGTCGGTTGGGCCGTAAGCGGACAAATCTTTGGCCCAGGTAGTTGGTAAGACGATGCCACCATTCAAACCCGGGGCGTTGGTCGATATCCTCGTCGGTCGACACTCCTGATGACAGTACGTGCTGCTCGCCCTCTCACGCCTCGTCCATTAGCTCGCGTTTCGTGCCGCCCGGAAGCGAAGGTCCACAAAGCGCAGCCACTGCCACGTACCACCCGGACGAGCCCGTGGCGCTCAGGCACTTGCCTGTGTGGTTCTCCGTGCGGATGGTATGACTGCGGGAGTCCAGTAAGCAGACGTGGCTGTTGCAGAGACGGAACTCGCAGGGCAGACCAGTGTTGCAGTATAACACCGCGGACTGGAATACATCATCGATCGAGGCGCACCAGATTTCGTTCTCGGCGGAAATCCTAAGAACCACTTCCACCGTCGTTTGCTAATCAGGGCTGGCCGTCGCCGCGCCGGAATAGGGTAAAATGGCCTCCGTATGCCTGAATGGCGGCTATTGATACAACGAAGTAGAGCGGGATTTTCATGTTGTATATTGCGAAAATTGCTGTAGGTTAGTGGTTATGGAGGTTGGGTCTTCTTGATGAGACTGCTCTGCGTGGGTTCGAGGTCTGATGACTGAGGTGCACAAGGAATATTTATACCAAGTTCAGATGTGGCCCATGCTATTATCGATATTTCTTTCCCGAACAGACGAAGACCGTGGCGTAACCTCCTGACAAATTTATGGTATCGCTTGGGGTAAGCCAAGCCCGCACATCCAGCCGCAGAGCTTCTCGTATCAGTACTCGCTCTTAACCATGTACATGGGTCCAGTCAGCCCTCGCTAAGTTCAGGCCTGCTACTGCACTAGAAACGCCTTACCCTGTTCAGCCAAGTGGCCGCAGACATGCCGTAGGACCCTGTCCTATTGGTTTGGTAGCCTAATAGCTTTTCTTCATTTTAAGGGAAGGGTAAATAGGGGGTTGGTGGGCGTCGGAAGCACCATATTGAAAATATAATACGAAAGATGTAGCACAATATTATTTGCTGGCAGTAGTATTTGTCAAAAGGTTACCTAAAAGTAGCTGGAGATGCATGGCTGCATCTAATCCTCTTTCAGTTTTCTTCACCTACCGAGGATCGTTTCTGCGATCCCTCACCACGGCCGACTGGACGCGAGTCCGGACTACCGGCCTAATGTCCGGAGCATGCTCCAGCATTGTTCAACACTAGAACATAAAATCTGTGTTAGTTGGCTGATATTGTAAAGTCTCCCCTGTGTTTCGCGTTCTATTCAAATCGAGTCTATCAAAATGTATTTCCGGAACACTGTCAAACCTATTCTGACTGCTATTGCTTTTCTACATATTACCCCGTGTATAGCTGCAGGGCAAAAGAGCACCCTAGCTCATACCCCACAGATGGGCTGGAACTCGTGGAACGCATACAAGGCCAACATCAACGAGTCGGTGGTCCTTCAAAGTGCGCAGCTCCTCACTACACTGGGGCTGAAGGATGCCGGATATGACTACGTCCTCGTGGACGACGGGTGGGCCGACTACAGTCGCACAGCGGAAGGCTACCTGCAAGCCAATGCAACCTCCTTCCCCAGTGGGATTCCCGCTCTGGCAGACAAAATCCACGCCCAGGGCCTAAAGCTCGGACTGTACGGCGACAGCGGCATGCTGACGTGTGCATTCCGCCCGGGCAGCTGGGGATACGAAGAGCGCGACGCGCAGACCTTGGCGGCCTGGGGGGTGGATTACTGGAAATACGACAACTGCGGCGGCTACCAGGCGATGACCGAGGCGCCGCAGGTCCGGTTTGGAATCATGCAAAAAGCCCTGCAGCTGGTCGGGCGCGAGATCCTGTATTCCGTCTGTGAGTGGGGGTATCAGTTTCCCTGGCACTGGGGTGGAGGTATGTATTGTCTCTACGGTCGCATGGACTCTACAGTGCGGGGGTGCGCGGTGGAATTGCATGTTTTGACTGACGCACATTTGCCCTAGAGATTGGTCACTCTTATCGCATGTCAGGGGATATCGCCAACGTCTTTGCGAACGAAACGGGCTGTCCCTGCAAGACCGCCTACTGCTTGAACACCGGCTACGCGAGCTGCTCGGTGATGAGCATCATTCGGAAGATGCGCGAGATTAGCCAGTACCAGTCCCGTGGGCACTGGATGGACATGGACATGCTGGAAATCGGCAACGCGGAGATGACGCTGTATCAGCAGCAAACGCACTTCGCCTTTTGGGCGGCGCTGAAGTCGCCGCTTATCATCGGAGCAGATTTGTCCAAGCTTTCTGATGACGCGTTGAAGGTCCTTACGAACAAACAGATCATTGCAATCAGTCAAGATCCACTTGGACAGCCGGCCAATTATGTCCAGAACGCCAGCTCGGAGGGTTCGTCACAGGTGTGGGCGGGCAGCGTGGAGAATGGATACGTGGTTCTCCTGCTAAATGAGAAGAGCTACCCACAAGAGTTGAAGGTAGATTTCGAGACTCTCGGACTGCAGCTCTCTATTACTGTCAACGTTACGGAGCTGTGGACCAGAAGATCTCTGGGGAAGATCGGGTCGTTTTCAGGCACACTGCAGGCGTATCAGACCCTTGTTTTCAGGCTGTATATGTGAATCAAAACAGTAGAATCTGAATATAGCTGACCGAAGGTACGAGCTCTTGCTACCGCAACGCCAGGGACCCATACCACGATTTGCTATGATCTTGTAGAAGACTCAGCTACATATCTATGATGTACCTTGTATATTCAAACTCACAAGAACACTCTCACGGCGAAGAAGAATCCTTTTAGCAATGGAACTTTCAGGATCAGGATTTTCTGGCTCCATATTGTTTTATTGAGCTTCAAAATTGAACAATTTGGGTCTGGCGAGGATGTCGCTAGTTACATAATGACAACATCAGTCAATTCATGAAAAGAACAGCCAATTATATACCATTGATAAGTAAATGCTTTCGAAGGTCACATAGTTCAATCTTCACACGGAGAAGTACAAACGTATATTCATCGATTATACCTATTGTTTTGCGAAAAGTCATTTCTTCTTGTCTAAAACCATATCGATGTGTGACATTGAGTTTCTCTAGAAAGCCATTACTCGATTGGCATTTCTTGTCTCATTTTGCGGGTTAATACACACGCCATCGCAAATCAAACGATATAAGGTGCTAAATGAGCAATTCAGATGCAACCAATTTCGAACAAGAGATTGACCGATCTCCACACGAGGTTTATCCATTAGCAATATGACAGATCCTGATTCGAACAACTTCCAGGAATGAAACTCTGTGACACTTTTGGCAGGTCCGTTTCGAAAACCTGGGCTGAAGGGTCGAGAATGCGATCAATGATATGAATTGTTCCCTGTGTAGAGCGGTTAATGCGTCGCACAGAAAAGGAGCAAGCCAAACCAGCTGAGACTCGCCTTGGTGACTGATATATCCTTCTCCACCACGGTGACCACGTTGTTCAGGATGATCTCACCATCTTGAACCTGCGAGCCGACATAGAGGTAACTTGCAGTCTGGAGTGCATTGTTGTCAGCTTCATGTAAGGCTCCATATCTCGTGTGCTCACCTGGAATCTCTGGTAGGTCTCGTTGAAGCTACTAGAGTTGAGGTTTGTGTTTGGCACGTAGTGGGAGAGAAGCGTGTTGCCCAGCCACCATTTGCCCTTCCTAGTAAGATGTCAGTACTTTGTATGACAAGGTGGATCGTTACTTGCAGGCAATGGACGAACGGGGTTGACTTGAATTCGTTGAAGTATGTGCCGGTGTGAAGCTCAAACGCATCGTTGTTAGGCGTAAAGAAGGTGAAGCTCCAGGTTGGTTCAGTATCAAAAGCCTTCGGAAAGCCGCCGATTGTCTGCAGTTCATCTGCGAGAACACTTAGATCTGGACGAGAATTGATAAACTCCAGAAGTGTAGTAACGTTGGTGGACTTGGGAGGGACATAGCTTCCAGCAAGGACCCGATAGCTGAGAGGATCCTGGATGGTGGATGTGGCCGCGCTGGTGATGGGCAGTAGGAGAGAACTAGCGAGAGATAGAAAATGCATGGTGCCGTCTGCAGCACTGCTTGTGAGATGAATAAACGGATGAATCAAAACACTAGAGATAGTCGTGCGCCTGAGGATCGAACATGAGAAATGCCCTCATGGTCGAAATTGGATGTGGCCGACAAAATATGCTGGGTTGTTCGCCGCCATGCACGCAACAGACTCCAGGGTCTGTACGGCAGTTGTCCATGCGCGGAGACGGTGCAAAGCACGGCCCGGAGTCCGCTCTCTGACCTGCATTAGGGCACCGCTAAGATCAGAACAATCGGGGAGCTTTTCTCCCAAAGTTTCGAGAAGCGACCACCATCCAGGAAGTGTGGAGAGCACAAAGGGATTATCAGACATATAATCAGGCTACGCTCAGTTTTGATTCTCAGCAAGTACAGCACAGGGCTAACTACCATGAAGGTGCGTATGCTGTCCTCAAATCCGCTGCTAGGCAATATCCTGCACATTGACTCACGCTCTTTTTTCTCACTGGTAGAAATTGCTGTTGAGTGTATCCGCAATAGCCGCTTTCCCTGTCAGACCGGCTCAATGTACGGTACAAGATGTGCCCGCAATCTTCGGGCCCATACCAAATGTCGCGACGTTCTCCGGCGTCGATTCCACCAGCTACCTGAAGAAGCGACCGAGTGACTTCGTCCATCCCGGGATCTGGCACACTCACGATGACCTGGAACTGATCCGCACGAAAGTTCTGGCTGGTGAGGACCCGTGGGCCTCCGCCTACCAGCAGTTCAGCGCCGACAGCTACTCCCAGGCCAGTTACGAGATGCAGGGCCCGAAGGAGGTGATTGCCCGCGGGCAGACGAGCAATTACACCAGCTTTGCGCACGACGCGCGCGCGGCCTGGCAGAATGCCCTCATGTGGTACATCACCAAGAACGAATCCCACTGGACGCGTAGCACCACGATCCTCGACGCGTGGGGGACCAATCTGACCAACATCATCGGGATTGATCGCTCCCTCATGATCGGTCTGGACGGGGATTTGTTTGTCAACGCGGCGGAGATCATGCGCTGGGAGGGAAATTGGACCGAAGTCGGAGCCCGGTGGCAAGGGGGCTCGGGCTTCAGCACGCAACTGTACTGGCTGTTTGCGCGCCAGTCCGCGGTGGTCGGCCAGGCCAACTACGGCATGGTCAGCATCAAAGCAATGCTCAGCTTTGCTGTCTACTTGGACGATGTGCAATTGTATAACTACGCGATGAATGCCTTCATTCAGGACAACTGCGCTGGTATCTTCGCACAGTACAACTCCGAGACGGGCCAGTCGGTGGAGGCCGGTCGGGATCAGGGTGTGTATTATATCTGCTAATCAGTGACCCCTGCTGGTTTCTTTCCTTACTGATCGCATCGAATAGGCCATACCATGTCAGGAATCGGGTGGTCGGCTTACGGGGCCAGAGTCGGTTTGAGTCAAGGCGTGAACCTCTTTCAGGTAGGGGACAATTTGCTGTTAAAGGCCGCGGAGTATGCCGCCGAATACAACCTCAACTCGACCGTTACCTATGACCCGAAGTGGTCACGCTGCGAAGCGGTCCTTGTCAACGGTCCCTGGGAGGTCATCTCGGCGGAGAACCGCGGCGTCAGCAACAAGATTCCGATCTGGGACCTTTTGTATTACCAATACGTGGTCAAACAGAAGGAAAAGGCACCCTGGACTATCAAGGCCCAGGATTATGAGGGCTTCGAAGGGGCAGTTTCCAGCAACGATCATCCGAGCTGGGGGGGTCTTATCTGGGCGGCAGAAGCATGAGAAGCATGAGAAGCTGGCGGAAGCAGAGCGACATCGAAACCTCCCATCCATACGGAGTAGGCTTTTTTTTTTTTTGTCCTTTGGGAATTTCCAGTCCCTGCCCCAGTTGTGCAGATCGAAAGTGAGTGATTGGTGGATAATTTGTCCACGAGTCGAGTGATAAACACCACTATACATACCTTACTGTATCTGGAAAGTGCTCGTTCTTTTAGGATGAAGATTCCTCCGCAGCCAACGGACTCCGGACCGGCGATTAGGCCGGCCACTGTTTTCTCCTACGGGAGGTGAAATCTTTCATTTGATTGCCGCTTTAGCAAAGTTTTCATCAGCCGAACTCTTGGCGAATATCGGGTTTGAGTGCCAGTCTGGCGAGGTCTACTTCATAACTCCTGTATTTTTTTTGCTGGATCCCTCTATTGCAGAATACGCAACATACAAAATTCATTACATCCAGTAGACAAAAAGGACTGTACCTATGGACAATTTCTGAAGACAAAGATGGACCAGGAAAAATAAGGAAACGGCTAAGTATAAGGAAGTAGATAAATAATCATATGTGTTGCTACCTGGGACAGTATCTGTGAATCATGCAATGCGGGGAAATGGTGGGGTAATGCCACCCGAACCCCGGGGTGAACGCAGTGTGAAGGATTCTTGAAAAACTTCCCGGTACCTGATACAATCTCCCATAACTTGGTCTTCCAGGCAATAGTTTCGTCTGGCGCCTGTGATAATGGCAGCTAGCGAGCCCGATCAGCCAGAACTCGGAAAGGACAAGTCCTTGGCCTGTCAGTCATGTCGGCGCAAGAAGACGAAATGCGACCGGGAGCAGCCGTGCGCGCAATGCACACGCTTCAATACCATCTGTCTCTATGATGACTGTCGCTCGAAACCGGGTCTCCGCGCCGGTGCCGTTGAGCGGCTGCAGCAACGGGTCGACACGCTGGAGAATATGTTTCTCGGCCAAAGCCTGCTCTGGCAGAAGATATGGAGCGCGGTGGCGGATGGCGTGTCGCCGAATATTCCCCCTCCGGCCCGGAATGGCATCGAATCAGCGGATGTTGCGGCGAGCGTGCAGCAGTTATCTGAGGAGGTCAAGCAAAGATTGCTGCAAGAGGCAGCCGGGACGGCTGACTCGGATGGCACTCAGATGGGGTCGTTGGGGCTAGGGCTAGACATTGGAGAAAGAGAACACGAAAGACGAGAAGCTAAAGACGAAGAAGACCCTAACGAGACGAGAGATGGCATGGCCCAGCAGAAACCACTAGAACCACGTCCTGCAAAGCGCCAAAAACTGCATTTTCACTCCATTCTGGAACAGCAGGTGCCCGAGACAGTGGACGACTGGCCTGCCTCGCAGCTCTCTGCGCAGGGGCTGCTACCGCATGCAGTCATGATGGAGTTGGTTGATTTCCATTTCGCCAATGTTCATCCTTGGATTCCCATCCTCCATATCAGAAGGTTTCGTGAGCAGCTGTACAGTCCGGACGGCTGGAACAGGGCCTTGCCAATTCTACATGCGATCCTAGCCACCTCCGTTCGCTTCACATCTCATCCTGCGGCTGGAGGTTTTCAATCCAAAGGAGAGATGGCGGCTGCTAGTCGCCAGAGAGTGATTCTCAACAGCATGGAGTCATTCTCGGTGGAGAATTTGCAAGCATTGGTGATTATTGCTTTGGATATAGTATGCATATGCTCATTCCCCAACAATGGCAGTTCATCTTGATAACAGCTACCATGCAGATTGGGAGTGGACGGGGCCCTTCAGCGTGGTCGGTAGTCGGCAGCATGACGCGCACTGTCGAGCAACTCCAGCTTAGTGTCGAGGATCGGGACGACGATGAGGGGAGAACAGCGAAGGGTGAGTATCTCATTAAGCGCATGGTCTTCTTAAAACCAGCGCAACACTGGTGGCAGACTGAAGAGCGAAGACGAGTATTCTGGACTGTGTTCCTGATGGACAGGTTTTGCAGCGTCTCGACGGGATGGAACCTGAGCCTGACGAGCGCAGATGTTCGACGGCGCCTGCCCTGCGAGGGAGCATTATGGCAACGGGAGCAAGAGCAGACCACGCCGTTCTTTGGCATCGCCAATCATTTCAGCCACGGAGCTAGCGGTCCAATCTTGGACGACAGTAAGCACCCTGGGCAAGACTCCATCGGAGGGTTTGCCTACGCCATCGAGGCTACCGAGTCGCTGAGCCTGGTGGTCCATTTCTTCTTGCATAATGCCCTTGACATCGGTGACGTACAAAGGACCAAGAAATGGCTGCTGAGATTCAAGGAACTGGATTTACGGCTTGTGCAGTGGAAGCTGCTGTTGCCCCAAAAGTGGCAATCGGCTGCAGTGCTCAACGTGGACGGAATCATGGATCCGAATCTGACTCTGGCACATTTTACCCACAACACAGCACTTATTCTCCTCCATCAGAGTATGGCCTATCCTCCAGCACACTGGAAAGATTGTCCCGTGCGACTCCCGTCGGCAACTTCGCTCGAGACGTGTATCGAGGCGGCCTCCGAGATCGTAATGCTGGGTAGCCTGTTTCTCCAGCACTCCTCCATTCTTGCTAACCCGCAGTTCTCTTTCTGTCTATTTATTGCCGGACGAATGCTACTAGTACACTCTCAGCATGCCCGGCTTTCTGTCTCAGACCAGCTCGATAGTATCGTTGGAAGTTTGCTGGAGATATCCCGTCGGTGGGCTGGTCCTGGTGCCACGGATCACCGGAATCTGGCGTCGGTGTTCGGCGAAAGGCTCACGAAAGCTCGGCAATTCATGTGCTGCAATGCGACATCACCCGCGACGCCCCTCGATATTCGACAAGCTGCTTACTCCGAGTCTGTAGCTTGTGCCGGGGAGGCTTCGGTCGATGTCCGTGAGCGCTGTGGGGATGGCGTCGGAGCTTCCACGGGGTCATTACCACACGCTCCACAGACTTCTTCGGCGGAACCCGGTATCCGTTGGATGTCGATTGAGTCGCAGTCCTTGCTTGAGGGTCTTGGCGAGCAAGACCGCGTCGCGAATCATATATCACCTAGCGATTTCTTTAATGATACCCTGAGCCTCGCGTTTCCACCGCTCCCTCAATCGCTGCAGGTGCAATATGACGCGCTGACGGAAATGACAATGGTAGACCCTTCCTGCCTGAGCAAGGAAGCACCACTACCATTTACTGCCCCACCTGCATCAGAAAGATCTCATTTCTGGGACCCGAATCCACAGTAGACATGCCCTCTTCTGTCCGGTATGCCAAGGGCGTTCTGGCCAGCCGTCGGGTCACATGAAAATGTGTATTTATCTATGTCTTCCGTCTAGTTCTTCGATGTACAGTATGGCTTCAACCTCTCTTCGCGAGCCAGTATGGTCAAACTGCGGCCTCGTTCTATAACCCTTTTCCATTACAACAAGAACATAAAACGGCTGATGCTGCCATCCTAGAACCCGGGCTCGACTAAGTCCAGTTCAAGCAACATATTACCCAAGAGCATGAAGTAATAGTCCGCATAGACCAGTCCGTGACTTGCCCACCGTCGCGGCGCAAATTCATAGTTGTTGATGGTCGCCCCGTTAAGAATCGTCTCTTTTGGCGGATGATGGGCCTCCCCTGTCCCTGTGCCGTCATCAACCACCAAGAAGCCAGATTCTTGCTTCATCTGATGGTCGGATGGTGCTCCATCTTCATACGTCTCAAGCTCCTCCTCCGAGGGTGAGACGGCAAAGCGAAATGTTGGAGGGTTGAGGCACGATGCCAGCGTGCCTTGGACAATCTGCCTGACTGCTCGTAAATAACGCCCCGCAAGCTCCTCCATTCCCTGTGTCCGGAAAGCTCGATAAAGTAAGAGCATGCCGCACGAGGCTATCATAGCCGCCGATGTATCGCGAGGCGTCTCAGCTGTGACAGGAGCGTCAAAGTCCCAGTATGGGACTCCGTCGGAAGGCATATGCTCAATGAAATAATCTGCGAGCGCCTGTGCCGTCGCCAAGAAAGTTGGATCCCGTGTCCAGAAAAACGCCTGCGCAAATCCCAGGATTCCCCATGCTTGGCCGCGCGACCAGCAGCTCTCGTCTTTGAATCCTTGGTTGGTGAATTTCTGTTTCGGCTGTGCGGTCGTGTCGTCGAAGTTCACCACATGGTAAGAGGACTTATCGGGCCGGATGTGATGTTGTTGTGTGGTGCGGGCATGGGCGACTGCGATGTCGAATAGACGGTGATCGTTTGTCGCTTTCGCGACCCAGAAGAGCATATCCAGGTTGATCATGTTGTCGATGATAACTAGAAAGTCCTTAGATGGATCCTCGAAGGCATACCGTTTGGTGATGCACGTGTCCCAGCTCCGGATCGCCTGGACTCGGGGACAGAACCGCCGCGCCAGCGTGTGGGCGGCGACGACGAGGGTGCTGAATGCGCGCGCGTCCTGCTGAAGCTCCCAGGCCTTGATTGCCCAAGGGGCGATCATGAACCCCAGATCGTGCGTCGTGCTCAGCAGGGCGTTTTGGTGCAGATTGATGGTCCACCATTGGCACAGATACTCGAGTTGCAGATGGTGGGGACCGGTGGTTTTCCTGTCGACATGACGGTGGTCGTACATGGTTTGCCGTTCGAGCAGCAGGTACAGAGACCCGGGGAAGAATCCCGAAGTCCAGAATCTCAGATTTCGATAAACATACCTCCCACCATCTCGGCCGGTATATTCTGGGTAGAGGATGGGTGGTTCCGCCTGCTGAAGCAGTCAGTAAGGCAAAGGCCAGCCGCAACACCCGCAATTGCTTCTTCCCGCGCGGTACTAGGGCTAACTTGGCGACTTGCCTTTCCCAGTGCCCTGCTCGCCACATGCCACAGCTTCGCGGCCACTGACTCGGAGAAGAGAATGTCCGTCAATGATTTGGGCAAAGCACTGCTCATATGAGGCGACTGCCGGCTGCCCTCGAGCTTTTGCGTCGATCCTGTGGATCTCTGTTGGGTGTCATCTGACTGCCCTCGATTAGTACCCTGTTACTAAACGCCAGGGAGGGGGCCTTTGAGAAAGCGATGGGCCATTTCACAAACTTACCAGCATGCTTTTGTGATCAGCACACGAGAACAGACGCAGGTAAGTCTTACTGCAGTCTGTAACGTGTAGATTAAATAGTGGATCCTCTAGCGGCCCGGTCGTCAACTTTGCCGAGCTGGAGATCGGGTATAATGCCACTGACATTCACTGTCGCGCGTTGATCGTCTTTACAAGGCAACTACAGAGTAGACAGTCTGTACATATAAAATATCCAGGAACTGGTTAACGATCAATTGGGTTGGAGATCCAATGGGAAAAGGGCCGTTCAATGGCCCGGCGAGTGCCCGGATCCTCAAGGTCTTGGTACCCAGTAGTCGGCAAGAGGAGACCCTTCGGGATAAGTAGCGGCAGCTGCACCGAGACGAGCACACGCGGCCCCTGTCCCCACCTAATCCTTCCTCCTTTTTGACCTTGAATGCAGAAGAGATCAGTGAGTCCCTGTCAATTCGGATTCTAGAGTACAATGCAGCCTCCTCTGCTTTTTGCACACCCGTCCAGGAAACGGCCCGTTTCATCTGCTACCAAAACCAAGCTCGCGGGATAATTTCCACTGCCCCCTTTCTTTCGGGAATGTATAGAATTGAGGTGGTTAAGTTTCCTTACTCGAGATTGTAAACTCACCAAGCTTAAAGCCATCGAGCAACCCAGAAAATCAAAACTTGAGTCCGGTTATTCAGATCTAGGTCTGACGTCTGCGAGAACGATGAAGCTGAAGCTTCCGGTTGCCTTGATTTCACTGGGAGTGGCATCAGCCTCCCACCATGGAGCATCCTGTGGCTCCAGCCGCGAAGCGTCTCACGGTACCGCCGCCACATTCACCCATCCGGGCCTCCTTCATTCGGCCTCGGACTTTGCGCGCATCGTGGACAAGGTTGCAAGCAAGACGGAGCCCTGGCTGACGGGCTGGTACAAGCTCAGCAACAGCTCCAACGTCGACCTGGATTACACCCCGTCGCCCAAGACGACCGTCTATCGGGGCGCGGATGGGGTGCACGCGGAGAACTATCCTTCCTTGTACAGGGACATTGCAGCAGCCTACGCCATGGCCATCTACTGGAAAGTTACCGGCAACACCAGCTACGCGGATGTGGTGGTGAACATCCTCGACGAATGGAGCTTCACCCTGACCAACATCTCCGGCACCACCGACCTCTACCTGGCCGCGGGCATCTACGGGTATCAGTTTGCCAATGTCGCGGAGATGATGCGCACCTACTCCGGGTGGCCCGCGGCCAACCTCACCCGCTTCGTCGACATGATGGTCGACGTGTTCTACCCGATCAACCATGATTTCTTGGTGAATCACCACGGCGCCGCCGTCGACCATTACTGGGCCAATTGGGATTTGTGCAACATCGCCTCTGTCTTATCGATCGGCGTTCTAAGCGATAACCAGACAATGTACAACGAAGGGCTGGGGTATTTCAAGTCCGGCGCGGGGAACGGGCAGATCGAGACGGCGATCTGGAAGCTGTACCAGGCGGGCGGGGAGACTTTAGGGCAGGGCCAGGAGGCCGGGCGAGATCAGGGCCATTCCATGTTGGATTTCGCCCTCCTCGGCCCTATCGCGCAGACGGCGTACAATCAGGGAACCGATCTCTTTGGATATCTGGATAACCGAATTCTGGCAGGGTGCGTCACCAGCCCCATTCCCCTTTTCCCGCCCCCCACGGGCTATCATATCATTCTTGTTCTTCTGGCTAACGGGAAATAATCTAGCGCTGAATACGTAGCCAAGTACAACCTGGGCTACGATGTCCCCTACACGACATACGATAACAGCGACGACGTGAACCAGACGGTGATCAGCAATAGCAGCCGCGGCGATATCCGGCCCATCTGGGAGCTCTTCTACAACCACTACGGGGTTCTCAAGGGGTTGAATGTCACCTATACTGAAGCTTATCGCAACATGGTCGTGCAAGATGGTTCTGGTGCGGAGGGCGGTGGCGGTGACTATGGAACCACAAGTGGCGGGTATGACCAGTTGGGGTATGGCACTCTGATGTACACTCTTGCTTGAAGATTGGAATAAAGGGTTCCCATCTTGAAATATAGTGTGGAACAGCGAATAAAACAAGAAGAAAACCCCAAAAGATCTATAGATAGTGTTTGTAGCATGCATTAACTACAACTCACAGACATTTACAGCCGTGGATCAGTTGGTAAGAGGCCTACAGGTAGGCCTACTTATTGATGTATTACTGGGAATGAGGGTAGGGCTAGAATAGGAGACTGTATACCTGGGCAAGCATGAAGCATGGTAATGGTAGCTTCCTCCGTATCTACTATACCTCACCTCTGGTTCAATGCCTGCCCTTTCTCCACCCTCCTTCTTTCTTTCGTAATCTTCCAAAAGTATCTATATATGATCTCTAGCATGAGTCAACAGCGGTCCTGTTCCGTTCGGATTCACGCTAGAGATCCCATCGGATATATTGTCTGTCACCTTGTGGGCATTGATACAGTACATATATTTAGGTCAGATCAGAGGCAGATTCATGTATTGCTATAGGCTCTTCCGCAGGCGTCGAGGCCTAAACCACTATCAACAAATATTGCCAACTCCGAAGTATTAAGCGTCAGAAGCAGACACCAGAATTATTCGTGCAATAATCATACATCCCAGTAAGCGTGGTCCGGGATGTTCTCCTCAAAATACGTTTCCTGGACCTCCGCATAGCCAACATCCGGTGCATGGGGCGGCCAGGGCTTTCCAGTCCCGGTCGCAAACAGCGCGAAGCTGGCGCCGGCGAATATAAAATATTTTTCTCGCTCAAATTGCTAATTGGCTCACTTAGAAGCACTGGTTGCCCTCTGTTCACGACTGGCCATCCATCCTACCAAGTGACTGGGGATAAAATGGTCTCTCTGTCTAATGGAGAGGATTCATTGATCTTGCGGCGTGCCAGGTACCGCAATATAAAATAACCCGTCCGGCGCGTCGAAAATGGTACCGTTGCCGGTAGACTGCACCGTCAGATTATTGTAACCGTACTGACCGTTGAACAGGATTGGATTGTTTGGGTTCGACTCCCAGGGACCCTCAGGCGACGATAAACGCTCGATTGTCGCCCGATGGAGATCATCGGTTCCACCCGTTCCAAAGACAGGTTAGCTGCCAGGGGCGCTACGGGTCTTCGTCGAGCTACTTCAAGTAGACTTGCCTTTAGCAATCAAGAGATAATTGAACCCCTCACGCCAGAACATTTCTTGGCTCTCGGGCCTCGTAGAGGAATCGTGTGTCATGGTGCCATTCCACAAGGAGCGATACTGCCCCGTACATCGCCCGGTGCTGAGGACGACCTCGCACTGGTAGATCCCCCAGATTCTGTCAACGTCGTTATTCGGCGTTATCAGGTTGAGGTATCCCTTTTTGGAGACCGGGTCTTGGAACATAGATGGATCAATTCCGCAGCAGTCGGACCAGATCGGGTCACTCCACGTCTTGAGATCCTCGGACACGGACCACATCACGCGGGGCCCTGCACGAGCAACAGGGTCATAGGTCCATCGTGTCATGGATGCCAGGTAGTACAGTCCGTTCATATATGACAATGTTAAGGCCCAAGTACCTACACTTCTCAGCAGAAAAGACTCGGGCGCTGCAGGAATGAAACGAGGTTCAGCATGTATGTACATACCAGCTCCCGTAGGGACGCCGTACATTTGCACTTGGCTGGGCCTCGTGAATGCATGAGCGTACAACGTCCAATTACCGAGATCCGTGGAGGTGTAGATTGGCGTACTTGGCCAATATGCGGAAGAAGAGGTTGCGAGATAATAGTTGCTGCCAACCAGTAGGATCGAGGGATCTGGGTTCCATTCTGGAAGAATCGGGTTCTTGAGTCCGGTCGCTACCTGAAAAAGGAGCTGACTGACGAAGATTTGAACAAACTTAGGACGCATTGCAAGAAGGTGCTGAATGGGGAGGTCGGTGGTATGGAAATTTCTGCCTGAGGCCTCCTTATTTAGAGCCGGAATGAATGTAGTATGTCGAATTGGCTGATATATGGCGCTTCCTATATCTTTTCCCGGGGCTGGCGAAAGGTGGAGAAGATGGGGACCATCGGGGCAAGGTTCGCCGTTATTATCCCCGCATTAAAGCCAAGAAATATGGTAATGATCTTTTTTGTGAGAATGAAAATCAAGAAGTAAGACAAAAAAGAGAAGAAGAAATGTGATACTGACGGATAGAGAGAAGAAGGTTGTTTGAGGGAGAAGAGGACAAAGCTATCATTCTTTGAAGACAAACTATTGAGTTTACCACGTATTGTCCCATTGAAGATGTCAGCCGCCATTCATGTTTGCCAGGTTTGTTGATCAACCACTTCTGTCTCAGGCTCCATCACTTCGGATCCCCCGATTACCCCAAATACAGGAAAATCGTGACAGGCGTCTCAAAGGTATTCCAGTAGTACCAGTACAGTCAGGGAACCGAGAGTGAATCATGAGCGGCGCCATGCGTCAATTCTAAACGGAGGGCAAGATCGCGGCGAGCCTGAGCAACACCGGACAACCGGGGCAATTGCCGGTCGCTCCTCCGATCAGTGCTCTCGTAGTGCTCTCAGAGGGCTTTGACCGTCCTAGTAAATTAACTACTAAGTACTAGTACTCAGGGATACTGACTCAGCACTGAAGTCACGAACTAATTAGTCAAGACACTAGCTAGCAAATGGGTCAGAGATAGCAGATGTCGCCGTATTTATATAGCCGCAACATGGCCCCCTCCCATCGCGGCATTTGGCCATCCTCAGCCACTCATTATCATGTCCGCATCAAAGAAAGTCGACACTGGAGAGTTCGCCCACCATGAGGATCTCGACGCGACTCATGAGAAGGCGGCCCATACGACCCGTATGGAGAAGCTGGATCCGCACGCAACGAACTTGGCCATTGTGATCACCCCTGCCACCAACAGCCGCCTCTTCTGGAAGATCACTCGCCGAATTCTGGTCATCCAAGTTGTTACCTATTTTTTCCAATCCCTCGACAAGGGCATACTGAATTATGCGTCCATCATGGGCATTAAGACTGATACTCACTTGGTCGGGCAACAAGTAAGGGCTACTCCAGATTTGCCAGTTGCCGTCGTCGATGACATCTACTGAACACTCTTCCTAGTATTCTTGGCTAGGCTCAATCCTGTATTTCGGTATTCTTGTGGGCGAGTACCCGCAAAACTTCCTTCTACAGAAACTCCCTTTGGCGAAGATGCTAGCCATCAACGTTTTCATCTGGGGAGCCATCGTGGCCTGTTCAGCGGCAGCTACCAACTTCGCATCTCTTATGGTAGTACGGTTTCTTTTGGGGTTCTTTGAGAGTTGCGTCCAACCGGCAATGATGTTGCTGTAGAGTCTCACCGTTCTCATATGATCGACATTCGGTCTGAGCTAACAACCACCCAGGACATCGATGTGGTACCGGCGCGAGGAGCAGTCTGTCTTGAACTCAATATGGTACTGCATGTATGGAGTGCAACTCATGGTACGTTACATTATCTTGCGCAGCTGATATATGGAACTGATCATGTCAAGGTTGGTGGCTTGCTATCTTTCGGTGTATCCAAGTTCCAGGGAGGGCCGATCTTCAACTGGCAGCTTTTATTCCTCATTCTGGGATGTGCAACATGCGTCTGGTCCTTTTTCATCGGTCTCTTCCTGCCCGACTCACCTTACTCCGCCAAGTGCTATACTGAAGAGGAGAAAGCATTAATGATTGAACGTGTGCGGGATAATGAGACAGGAATTTCCAACAAGGAGTATAAGAAGTACCAGGTGGTGGAGGCTCTGACTGATCCCTTTGTGTGGTGCTGTGTGCTGATGATCCTGGTGGCCAATTTCATCATCGGGGGTCTGGGTGTATTTTCCAACCTTATAATCGAACAGTTTGGCTTCACGCTCCTCCAGACACAGTTGCTGAATATCGCACAAGGTGCATGGACGATCGGTGTCATGGTTGGGTCGGCTTGGACTGCCCAGCGAATCCAGAAGACTTGCTTGGTTATGCTAGTACGTTCCCGTCTTGCCTGCACCTTTCCAGTTATGCCACCGTTGTCTCTCAAGTCTGACTGACATGGGAATGCTCGAACAGCTCTGGACAATCCCCGCCATCGCGGGCACCATTTGCATCCTTGTGGTCACGCCGTCCTCCTCAAACAGCGGGGGCATGCTCATCGCTTTCTACTGCACGCAATGCTTCCTAGCCGAGGGCAACCTAATTATCTCTCTGGTCACACGCAACATCGGGGGACAGACCAAAAAAGGCATCACCATGACCATGATCTTCGTCGGGTGGGCGGTTGGCAATCTGGTGGCTCCGCAGGTCTTCCAGAACTCGGATGCTCCCCGATACCTGCATGGATTTCTGGCGCACATCGTGATCTACGGTGTTTATGGTGCTCTGGTGGCGGGCACATGGTTGTTGCTGCTGGCCCGGAACCGTCTCAAGACTCAAGCTGCGCCGGATCTGAATCACGAGTTGGCCTTTGACGATCTGACGGACAAGGAGAATCCGAACTTTCGCTATGTGCTCTGATTTCCTGTCCAAGGTATGGGGGTTGATAAACACCCTCGAGGGGGTCTGTAATCTTTCTGGATGGTTCCCAAAATGTGGCGTCTAGAATGCATCATAACGAGGAATTGGATTCTTTCTCATAACTTGGAGAGCAGGGTAGGTATCTTGTTGTGGGATGCTTTCAGATGGAACTCAACGATTGTGGTTTTGTTTGAAATCTGGATTGTCGATCCCTCAAGCCAGAGAATACTGTACATCATTATAGAACCACTTTTAGGACCGCTTGCTGGCTCCTCTCAGTGCAGCAGCCAAGTAAACGAGCCGGTCGCATCGATGGTTAAAAGCCTCAGGCACAAATTGAATACCAATCACCACCCGCCACGAATCAATGCCGACCGTTGACGGAATGTACATATTGTATCAGTTTACACAAATACTTTGACATCCCCAGACTACTAATGAGCAAAAACATCGTCTTCGCTGAATCAGGGACACAATAACAATTTATTTTAAGCTCAAACACTAATCAAGATGTAAGATACCCAAGAAGCATGTTTCCAGCTGACGAGTATCTCCACACGCACAAAATGACACCCCGAAAATATAGCCCTAAGTCCAGCAACATCCGCCCTGATGGCTAGTGCTGAATGCAAGGCTGACTGACGGATTCTCTACAAGATGGAGTCCACAGCACACGGGCATCTAGAGACGAAGTGCTTCCTCGATAGCCTCAACAGTGAGCATCCGTTCGACACGTGGCTTCAGCTCTGCGATCCTCGATGCTTGTTCTTGTGGCGAAAGGTCAGCCAGCCGTAGGGCGACTAGTTCGTGGAGTGTGGGTGCTTCTTCCCGTGGAACCAGTAATCTGAAAACCTCTTCAAGAGAGAATTCGTCTCCAAGCCTATCTCGGAGCGCTCCCAAAGTAGCGACAGGTTTGGGTTGTCGGAAATGGTACCTGTTTTCCTTGCTCTCATCGCTCGCCCCCGCCACAAGGCCCAGCGCACCACGCGACGGGTTGCTCTGACGTTGCGCACGGCTAGACTGCGCTTCCAGCCTGATCTTGAAATTCAAACGCGGGTCACCACCGCATAGCAAGAAAAGATGGAACAGAGGAAAGAGGCGCCGAAGCTTTGGAAAGTCAGGTGTGTAAGCTAAGGCCTCGGCCAGGAAGCATTTCCAATGTGAAAGGTTTACCGCATCATCGAGGTCGGCAGGACTGGCTAGTGAGAAATTTCGAGACAGAAAGGTCTTGAGACTCGCAATGAGGCCCCACGTCAAGTGGAAATCCTCTGCCTGCGTTGCGATAATGTCGTTGTAGGCTAGCGTGTTGAGTGGAATCTTTTGCCCGAGAACATCTAGACCCTCGGGCCATATTAGCCCATTGCATGCAGCGAGGATTTGGAACAGTACCTCGACACTCACACTGGCCTCTGGATTTTTCTCTCCTAGATTTAGCACCGGATCCGGAACAGGAACTGGTGACGCTTTCCGCCAAAAGATCAATCGAAAGTCGAATTCAGACGGAAGAGTGTGTTCAATGGCTCTAGCAACTGTAATCAGGAATCGGGCGATCTTCTCCGACCGCCGCAGAGTTTGATCTAGTCTACCCAGAGCCTTGAGAAGCTGATGGACTTTTCTAACATCGGTCCAGAAATCTCGACAAGGGATATACAACGAGAAATTCGTAATCGGGAATGTCCATGTGGTCTCGCAGGAGACCTCTCGCGTGGAACACGATAGCATGACGGGCTGACGCCACTGTTCCAAGGTACGTCGCTGTAATCTGCTGTATGTGGCACGGCATGTGAGGTCGGTCAGCAGTATCTGGCTCAACGCATCCAGTACATCCCACCCATCAGGAAACGCCTGGTATTGAGTGAACGTGGGCTCTTGTATGAGGAATTCGGGGATTGATCGATGCGCGAACGCGACCGTTGTTTTACGGGTCACTTGACGGTGCGATACTTCCAGAAGTCCCCGATATCGGCGATTGATACGCGATTTGGTCCGCTCAAGTCGCGCAAGGAACTCCTCCTCTCCATCAATTTCAGTATCAAGTCTTAGAAGATAGGCAAAATCCGGATCTTCAAGGTAGTCCGCCAAGAAGGAAAAGCTGGACAATGGCCACGGGGTCCCCATCACAAGGACCATCTTCATCAAGGCAAATGCATATCTCGATCTGCTCTTCAGGATTGAGGTTGTAATGTGCTGGAACAGGTCCGGTAACTCTCCAGGGAGTTCCTTGACCCGGCTCTTAAGTTCATCCAGTCTAGCGTCGCCGTCAATGTCACGCTCAAGTTCTCCAATTATCAGCTGACTCCACAAGAACACCCCTTCTGCCTTTCTTACGATGCATGTTTCCAGATCTAGCCGATTGTGGTCGCTCCAATTCCGGTAGCAAGTGTGACCATTTAATCTGCGACGCACAAATCTAAGAATGTCCGTGTAATTCACATCCTGGAGCCAAAATGTGCCGGACAACCGATGCTGTTCATCGAATTCCATTTCCTCGCGGCTTGACACGCAGATCTTGACGTTGGCGGGCATATCAGAGACCCATTTCATGAGGTCGCGGCATAGCTTACGGTCGTCACCCTTGAACTCATCCAAGCCGTCAATAAAGATGACGAGCTTGTGGTTGTCGTAAAAATGACTCATCTTCCGGAACCTGGCCAAAGCCTGCTTGACTTCGGTATCAGTCAGCGGCTGGACCCTGCGTTTGGACAGATCTGGGAATATTGCCAGAGTGAACTCAGGTGCTTGATTGAGGACAGAATGAAGAACTCCCCGGTTCAACCCCTGCCGGTTGTGTTCATTGCCGGCTGTTGGCGCGCTTGGCGGAGGCTTCCCATTCCCAATAAAATATCTCCCTATCACGAGACTTTTTTGGCCAGCCCAAGCATTCAAATGCTTCCGAGGCTTCGGTGACTCGCAGAGAAATTTCATGAGGGTTGATTTCCCGGAGCCGGGCTTGCCTGTGATATGAAAGATTCCTTGGCCCTCCCTGAGCCAATCGATGAACTCGTTGCGCGTCTTTTCACACCAAGGTTGGTTTTCCTTGCAAGGCTTGACGGCTTCATCAACCAACCACTCGAGGGTCTGGTTGTATTCCGCGCCAACCCTATCGTACCAAGAACCCATGCCATCATATGCCAGTCGCTCCAGGACACAATTGCGCATTTGGTAGGTATTGACATCAGCCGTCAGTTCACCCACTTGGGATTCAATGGCAGTCATCTTCTCGTCCACTTTCTGTTCAATAGCAGTTGTCGTTTCGTGCAACTGCCGGCGCAGATGAGACACCTCGCAAGAAATTTTTGAGACTGCATTCGAGATGCTGTCGAGATGTAATTCGAACCGACCGTTGCAGATCTGGGTGTACTCGTGGATTGCTGCGGTGCTTCTTGACGGTATCAACAGATTCGTGGACTCTCAAGCTAAAGACAGGAAGGCATCAGTATTGTCTCTCGACAGCTGCAACATATCGTGTAGCTAGTCTCTTACCTGATGAGAAGATGCAGCCGGCTTTCAAGCTCATAAAGCTTCTTTCTGAGGTTTGTGATCTCACCTTCCCTATACAAGGTCGCGAAGATCTTCTCGAACTTGTTCTCTTTGTGCTCGAGCAGATCCTAAATGGGCTGAGAGGTCTCTCAGCCCATTTAGGATCTGCTCGAGCTTGCTGGACTCTGAGAGGCATTCCTGGCACAGACGCTCGAGTTCAAAGTCATTGACCTCTCCACGACCCCTGAGCTGCGTCACGGCCGCGCTAAATTGGTCGTTCAGTTCTCTATAGTCCTCATTCACAGTCGTTGTCCCATTTACGTAGATCTTGACCCCAAGGATCAACCCCTTGACCCCAATTTCGACGAACTGGACGATGTCGCCCGTCAAACTAACAATAGAAAGGCCCTTCATGATAAATGATAACAGGAAGAAGGTACTGGAGGAGGATTCGAAAATTCTTTCAATGGAAAAGCTCGAAAGGTGATGGAAACTGATAACAGAGAGAAAAGGAGGCAGAGCTGACAGGAAGCGAAGCAGGAGGCTTTTAATCCAAGGTGGAAACTTGGATGAGAGTGTATCTTGGTGATGGGATGAGCAGAGTTGACAGAACCCTGTTGAGGAGGGAGGGGCAATGACTGACACAGCTGGTTTGTGCGTCTCGTCAAACGAACTGAGACAAATGAGCTAACTTTGGCTAATCAGAGAGGCAGGGCATCGTGAGTCAGGGTGAGCAATCACTCTTGGCCGCTCCTCGCAACAACTCCAAGCTGCCTAGGCCCATCTGGTCGCCTCGTTTTGCAGAAACACAAAGATGATTGCTCCAGTCCCCTTCTTTCTTCCTTCTGCGGCAATGCGCGCGATTATACGAATGTCGAACGAACAACCTACTTTCTAACCGGCCACGAAAGACGATTACGACGCAATCCAGCAACCCTATACTTGCCATCGCGAGCTTCCCCAAAGAAGGGGATTAAGCTCACAGCCTATCCATCGCCACTAGACTCGGTGATTTAGTCAATAGGTACAGTTCCTACTAGTTGTGCACACTCTCAGAGATTAGTTTCGTGTTTTTCCTTCCCTTCCTCACATCTCACGTCGGTAAATACGTGGAATTAATGCCGAGTCGAGCACATTTCCTACCTGCTGGCAGAGGCCGAAAAAATGGGCTCTCAACACCCAAGGTACATCAGTGCATGGCAGATGTAATCATGTGATACGAACACCGACTAATTGGTAGGGAAGCTCGGCCAAGCCTGCAGAATCCGAATAACTAACGTTAACTACATGTCATTATTGAGGCCTCGCTAAACAGTGCAAACACCAAGATCCCGCTGAGTCAGCCTCCGCGTACAAAGCTAAGTTGTTCATTCAGGTAGTTACCAAGTAGTTACTGTAGGTAATCTAGTTAACTTATTAACTTATCTCATCTGATGGCTAACTATGCGAGATTGTCCAATGCGAAGGGCCAAGCATTATCTCGACTCATTGATTGTGAAGAAGGCGCAAATCTTCTACAGCGATCTATGTTAAGCAAGCATCAATGCGTACAAGCTTTCTTGCAGTCCGGTCGGCCAAGACTTCTTGTGACTGTATCCATGGTAGCATCGCTCATGATAGTCCTTTCTCCCGTGGAATGGATAAAGGGCGCTGTCGCAATGCCGCTTTGTTTGTAAGTTCTGAAATGCCCTTGTCTACTCGTCTCGAGTAGCGATATCTTTCGCTAGGCTGACCCTTGGATCTCTGGAGACGCTGTGCGACAAGAGTCATAGCGAGGGTATAAATACAGCAGTTCGAACCCTCCGCGAGTTCAATTTCTCTGTCTCATCCTCGTGCACCTTGATCACCCCAGTCTCCTGATCCGGTACAAGAGAACATCAGACCGCAACCACTGCTCAGACTGACTGTCACAATGTCCGTCGAGAAACGTCCCAACGCTTCATCTGGAAAGATGGTCGACAAGGCTCGCGATCAACAGATTGTAATGGAGAGTTCACGCACTCGACAGATTGCCGACGCGCTGCAGAACCAATGTACGGTGCTGCTCTACAAGTGGCTCGCGGGTCGCCCTGTTTGCGAATTCAGGATCGTCGGCCCCGAGGTGGACAATCCGCCCTTTGGAGACGAGGCAGAAAACGTTGACAATGACGGTGACGACGCATCCCCTTCGCTGGCAGCGTTGGCTAAATCAAATCTACTTTGTTGATATCCCCGGTGACAACTTCTGGAATTTCACGCAAGCCCACAGCAAAGACCTCCAACCTCTGTGGGCCATTCTGGACCTGGTCACTCACTCTTCATGCTTATAATTCTACCCTGATATCAGTTCTACCTCCAATGCAGAACTGTTACTAGATAATGCAACTGATTGAAATTCGGAAGTACATACGCTCAGACTAGCGGACAGTACAAGTTAGACATTTTTATAAGGCCATGGTCACGGACCCGGGCCGGGCGGGCCTCCGGGACCTCCCCCACCCCCGCAGCAGTCGCAACAGTCGCAGCAGCAGTCGCAGCACGAGAAGCATTCGAAACAGCTCACACCCGCACACCTGTCTCTATTGTCAGCAAGTAGAACCATCGTCTCAAATCAGGGGCCAGTCACTAACAGTCCACAACAAACGTCCTCTCCTTCGCCCCCGCCTCGTAGTCGGACCATTGGCTCGCCCATGCGCTATTTACATTAGTCACGAATGGTTACTCGATACTCAGAATGGCCTACCGGTTGCTCGGTGATCAGCTCATTGTTTGCCGAAGCTGCTATGCGGCGTGGCTCTTGCATCTCCAGGCTGGTGGGGTTCCAGGTGCTTTCGGCGACGGGCGCTTCGGGCGACGGCCGCACCCAGGCAAATAAAGTGCGGCCGAACATAGTGAGAAGGAGCTTAAATATTGAGATAGAAAAGATGTTTCCCAGGCGCTGGCATGGTTTGAGTCCGAGGTATCAAGGGCGCTTGATATAAGCATTTAAGTGGGCGGCTTGGCTACGGGCTGTAGGGCTGTAGGGCTGTGATGGCATCCTTGGTCATTGGCTGCTGTTCGCGGTTTCCGACCCGTTGGCACTTCATGATATCATGGGTCCGCAGTTTTTTGTTCCTGGCCCTGATTCCACAACACCTGGTTATGTGTTTCGTGGTGAATGGTCCCACAACTACTACAGGGCCCCACTCCGGAAAAACTCACAACAGGTGACGCGCTTGTAGGCAGCAAAGTTCGAGCGCTGATGCAGAGTATCAAGCCCTCGACCCTGCCCTCGATAGCAGCTGTGATTGGGCCAAGTCTTTATTCTGTACGTCACCAGGAGCTGGTGGGGGGAGTGTCGACGGGTATTTGCAGGATAATGAAATATACTCTAGATCCATGATTGAGTCGAATATTGCCGCAACGAGCAAAGCCTAGAACAATACCGGATGATGTCACCACCCTCAATACCTTGGGCAAATCATGGGCTTGAAGACGAAACTAGTAGATTTCGCTCTATAACTGGCAATTTCAGGTACAGTACTTCGACCAGGTGACGTATTCGGTGGAGGTAATGTCTGCGCATTCTACCTTATCATGTAGGAGAACGTGCGAATGACGAATACCGGTCCATTGATACTACTTCTTATATGAGGCTTGGGCGTCTGTCCAGACTGCACCCCGTTAAGGTCTTCCTTCCCACCATTGATCGTCAGACGGGTCCAAGCACATGACGGTCTTAGCCCTACCTCACTAAGGGGTAGACACTAGGAAGCTGCAGATGAGCACTCGCTTGAGGGAATTCGGACGCCAATGAAATTGAACCTCATCAACACCTTCAAGCAAGAACAAATACCTCACTAAAACTGGTCAACCAAGTCGGTGAGTAAGCTAACCAAGCGCCCGTCTACAACCCTGGTCCCCCAATCAATGCACTGCAATACAATCCCCTCGAAACTTTTTTTGATATCGCTATATGGTTCCAGACGATATGATCACAAATGATCTCTCCTCCGCTCCGCGCACCACTCCCAGAACCCACTCGCCCGCCCGGTGCCGCACTCCTCCACCGGCACCAAATGCCGCGCCAGGTACGGCGCCATCCCGGGATGCAGTCGACCCCACGGGATCACATACGCACCGTTATTCTCATCGTCTAGATGCAGAGGGAGATAGTACAGCTGGCCGCTAGTGGTGGTGGTGCTTGCTTGAATGGTCTGGATGGCCGCCTGAGCGTGCGGCTCGGACCGGTCGGCGATGTAGACTGTCGCCCCTTTCTGGTAGAGCATGCGCACCAGCTCCTGTTCTATTCCGGATGCACCGCCGGTCACGATGACAACTTTTCCCCTGCTGCGAGGGAGCGTCGGACAAGGTGAATCACGGGCGTGGAGGGAAGGATTACGGATATTGAGCACCCATTATCAGATGATGAGCTGAAGTTGGCAGTGGGAGCTTAGGATGTAAGGGTGGGAAGTTCTTAAAAAGTGATGGAAGTCATTGCAGCCAGAGCTGGGTTCCGAATTTCCTTGGCCAGCTCACTATGCTCGTCTAATCTGGCGTGCTAGCGCAAGAGTGAGATTCTAGGGTGCTTCCCTCAAGTTTACTGGCCTTAATCTAGTGCGTATCCTGTGGGCTCCCCGGTTTGGCTGGCGGCAGGAGCCACTTACAATGATCGGACATCAAACTACAGGCAAACTACAGCCACTAAGCGAGCTGTTTCTGGGCATGATCAGGGAATTGGATAGACCAGGTCCCCGCATGGTGGCTGAACAGCACAGTTACAAGTGAAGACTGTTGATCCGGGGCCAGACGCACTCGCACCTCCAGCGGTAGCTTCTCAACCAACAAGAACGTGCGCAATTCCTCCCATTGCAACTGTTTCCTATCCACTGCCTGGAATTCAAAGCTAGTCAGTAACCTTGCGAGGATCAGTCGCATTTCCGCCCATGCCAGGTGCTGGCCAAGCCAAGACCGCGGCCCTGTGTTAAAATGAGTGCACAGCCTGGGGAGGCTGCTGATATCGATTACCTTAGATGCAATTAAGTCTAAGTTACTGAGCTATATCCCTGTCGGTCTGGGCTCACTAGCCCAGGCCCTCGCCTAAATATACTTTTTTGTCTATCCACAGATTCCAGTTCATTCATCTGTTGTCCCCTTCTCTTACTCCGCGTCCACGTCCTCGACCAATTTGGGTGGCCTCGGCCATCCGCATTTGCTCCAACCTCTCTGTGAGCTCCTCCAGCAGCCTTTTAGGAGTCTTTCCAAAAGCATTGGGTCGATCCATCGAGCCTCCTGCCTCCACCAGCATTTCGATCCATTGCTTTCGTGCTCGGACCGGAGCATCCTTGGGCTGCGAGGGGTCAGGCCGTCCATGCTCGTCGAGCTTTCGAATTAGTGTCCCCTTCATCACCTGATGGAGGGGTGTATTTCCCTGGTCGTCGACTACGTCCACGTCCGCTCCGCGGCTGATCAAATACCTAGCCGCCTCAACCTGATCCATGTTCCTGACGAGATAGTGCATCGCCGTACAGCCATCAGCATCTGTCTCATCGATGTCTAGCGAGGCCTGCAGTAGACGCTCGAGCATTGCCCGGGGAATGTGCTCAATCCAACGTTCAGCACACAGCCGGTGCAGACACAACCGAGCATCGGCCCCGTGGGCCAGCAAGGTCTCGACCAACTGGATGAACCGTGTATCGTTGACTTTCCCCCGTCGCACACCATGGCCATTTACTGCATCTTGTAGAATTGTAGGCTCGAAAGTGTCTCTCTCGCGTTCGTCGTTGCGGACGGCCTTCCAAGTCGACGCTAGTGGTCCAGCATCCAGCAACATCTCCACCACCGCCAGAACGCTTGAGGGTCCCATGTGGCGTGATCTCACCGCGTAATGGAACACCGTGGCCCCCAGCCGGTCTCGGGCGTTGATTGTCTCAGGGTTCGCTGCTAGAAGGTATTTGACGGTCTTCACTAATCGTTCAGAGGGTATTGTCTCTTCCTGAGCCATATCATCTTCTGTGTCATCATCCTTGTTCTCTTTTCGAGGCTTGTCGTCCGGCGTGCCTAGTAAAGCCCAGTGAAGGGGAATCCGGCCCTGATCATCCCGGCGGGAGATCATCTCCGCCACACTCACCCCCTCGCCGCGATGGTCCACTAGCGCACGAATGCCCTCGAGGTTTCTGTACACGCTGGCGATATGCAAGGCGGTGACTTCTTTGCTGGGTCCAATGACACCCTCATCAGTCATCCACAAGGTCGGATCACACCAGCTCTGCCGGACATGCACCTCGGCGCCTTCCGCGATCAGCCGCGATGTCAAATGATAGCTACCATACGGCACTGCGGCGCCGAGAAGTGTCTTTTCCAGCTCTCTGACCGGCTGTGATGGCCCACTCGCATTACCATCATCATCTTGTCTCCCTTTGTTCTCCTCTTCATCATCATCATCATCCTCCTCCTCGTCGTCTTCCCGCACAACGTTCACAACATCTGACTCCGAAACCAGACACCCCTGGTTCAAAAGACAGTGAATGAACTCCTCATGCTCGGCAAAGCCCACCCCTCGCCTAAGCCCGCTCGCCGCGCTGAACAGCGGCGTGTGGCCGCGGGCATCCCGATCCTGCAGCGTCGCCAACGGTGGATCGTGCTGCAGGAGCCAGAGCACCATCTCTCGATTCGCGGCAGCACACGCCTCGTTGATGGGCGAGAAGTCCAGTTGCGTCAGGTATTGGTCCAGCGGCGGCTGCTCGGGGTTCTTATACGTTGGATCTGTCAAGTAGATCTCGATAAGGGCGCGAAGAGCCTCCCAGCTGCCGGAACCGGCCGCCACAAAGAAGGGATGCCAGTAGGGGGCTTCGTATCCTTCCCAGAATACCCGCGTGTTGGGCGATGCGTGATAGAGTCGGAGAGCCGCGAGGTCGTTTCGCGCCACGATGCGGCCGCAGAGCCCTCCCCACCCATCCTCATATACTGGGGAGCCGTCAGTGTCGTGGAATGCAAAGGCCTTGTGGCGTTCGTGGAACTCGGGATATGACATTGTGCGTCCGAGGTATGGAAGGGAGGAAACAGTCAAGATGGCGAAGGGGGAGTGGCTGCAGGGGGAAGTGGGTGGGTTTTATAAGTTACCCGCAAAAACATTTTGCAGCGGGCTCCCGATGCGGGAAGGCGCGCTTTGTGAGTGCCGGGGGACGTGGAAGTACCGGAATGTCATATTGCACTTTATTGCCACTGATGGGCCCTGAGACCATCCTCTAGGTCATTTGTGAATCATCTGTATATAGCATCGAAGCTATGCGGTGATCTCTCACTCTCTCTCACTCTCTAACTAGTGTAGAAAGTCAATTCGTTCCCCAATGACGACTTCTGTCTGGTGTGAAATATAGCCAGCAGGTTTGCACCTGGTCAAGGAATCTAGCAATTGTTACTGTACCTTGAGTAATTCTCGCCAATTTGAGCTTCGTCCTGCTAAGCCTAATGTCTTTCTAGCCGATCTTGAGTCTATGAAAAAGAAAAAGTATCTTCGCCATGCGGCCACCACGGGCTATCACTCCTGTAGTACTGTGGCAATTCTTCTGATTGATGAAAGAGATGCTATGAGTCTATGAGACCATGGACTTGCGTCTTTGTGATGCTAGTCTCTTCGCTTTATTTTCCACTGCCATTATCATGCCAACCGTGTACGTTGTGAAGGACAGAGTTGTAGAGCTGGTACCGTATGAGGCATATAAATATACCAAAATGAGCAAACAATACATATTCAGGCTTCATGCTCCCTCTAAAGGTGTGAGTGATGAAGTATGGGCGGTGACTGTAGGTGTTTAGAATATCCAATATCCCATAGAAGACTAACGATGATATGCCTAATACTAAAACTTGATGGAAACTAGTAATCCTTGTTCGTAGTAAGGCAAGTGGGCTAATACGACCGCGAAGCTCATGGGGCGGGGGTTGACAGTTGCTGGTATAGATGACTCAGCATCTTCATAATGGTGGACAACGGTCTGTGCATGTCTCTGGGCCTTCACGTATGCATCCATGCTGAAAAATAGACTGAGTAGTAAGTCATGGTTTATTTCACATAGTAGGAATATTCGCATGTGATACTTTTAGCTTCCGTTACAGGCGATAGTCACAGCAGCCACACAACCAACAGTCTGCACCATTCAGTCTGTGCAGTCTTCTCTATGTTGGAACACATGAAAGGACTATGAGTCGTGGCCGCATTCTCGGAGACTGCAACTCATGACGAAAAGAATTGTGTACCAAACTCTCTCTGAAGCCTTAGAGGTGTCTGTAGCCGAGAGAATCGTATGAAGGGTGGTGGTCCAATGCTTTGGTCGCCCGAAATCTCAGTCAGAAGATCGACAGCCGGTCTTCAACGCCACAGGGATCGTCGCTCGCTCCATACCGTGGCTCAAGGGGGTTGCACAGTACTCCAGAGATCAGCCCTTCTCGACTTTGATCAGCACGAAGCCGAAATCTTCAGACCAGGAGACTCGAACCAAATCTAAGATATAAAAGCCGATCTCTTGGATCTAGGAAAGTAAAGGGTGAGCAAATGTCAATTCCAACGGCAAGACAAAGATTTGTTCGTCCCACGTAGCCTCATCTGGAACAACCTTGAAGGCCGGTCCTTGAGACAATCCCTGCAGCTGCTCTCAGGTAGGTAAGACAGAGGCGCTCTCGCACCTGCCGAGACTATGAATAACATCATGATGCAGACTGACGCAGAAGACACTGCCACAAGCATTGGCCACCCGATTATAAAACCGTCCATCTTTCCTAGTCGATTGCATTCGCCTTCACCTCTTGCCTAGGCGGAGCCCTCATTATCATCGCAATGAAATATTCCATCGTAGCTGTCGTGCCCGCACTCGCAGCCAGCGCCGCAGCTCTTCCCTTCCCCTCTGCGTATACTCTTGTCGCAGATGGAGGCTGGACTGTGGTCACCGACGGTGGTATGCCGCCTTCCCCTTCCATTCTCCAGCTTCCGAGAGTCTTGTTCTTTATCTGACATCGCTCTAGCCCATGCCTTTATTGGCACCGGAGACATTGACAATTATCCCGTCCTGATCTGTAAGCTCCACCCACCCAATATAACCCTCATCCGTTCCAACTACTAACCATGCGGATTGAGGAACAGTGAAAGGAGGCAACAACAACAGCAAAATCACCGGCGCCGCGCAGCACCGCTCCTCCACCGGCGTACAAAATCTCTACGTCATGGGGAGTACGGACGCACCCGTGACGCTGACGAGCCCCGACGCTGACGCCCCCAGCGGTGCCGTCGTGGCGGGATTCGGGGTCGACAATCAGAATTACCTGACGGTCAACGGGAAGAGCAGCGCTTTCGGGGTGGATCCCAACTCGGGCCAGATCAGGGAGATCTACCATCTGGGGAAGGGATCGGACTCCCAGTACCAGCCGATTTCGTTGTGGGTGAAGGAATGCAAGGGGTGTTAAGTGGTGTTGCATTGGCATTGTTGGGGGGAGAAGGCTTGCTGTGGCGGTGTGGGTGGGTGGGAGGATGCTCATACGCGTAAGTGACTTGTAGGTAGGACACTGTGGCTTTGAAGGGTGATTTTGGTGGCGATGTGACCTCGTGGAATCGTGGAGAAGGGTGCATCTGCTGTGTATGGCTTGATGAATTCGCAAGGGTTGGTTGGTTTATTGTACTGTACTACGTCGATGGCTGCCTTGAAACGCTGGCTACACGGGCTCAAAGGAAGGCTCTCAAAGGGCAGTTTTCGGCTGAATGTCTGATGTATAGATGTTTATGTGGTGGATCATTGTTCTGGAAAAAAGAGTGATTTGATACTATACACATTTTGAAAGACGGTGGCTGGTGATTGATGCCTTAGCTTATAGGCACCGAGGCCAACAGGTTGATCTCGTGATCTGCCGCTCCCCCTTCTCCTCCTTCTTCTCTTTCTTCTGCCTCACTTTCCCCTTCCATGACCCCATTCAGTCCGCTCATTTCACCCATCGCATTGATTCCATCTACCATCTGCTTCACAATTCCGTTGACGAGCCCATTCGCCATATTCTTTCCCGGCTCAGGTAACGGGATGACAGCCTGTCGCGACGCGAGCTGCGCCTCCGAGGGCAGCGAGGTGTTGACATCTTGGCGCGCGATCGCCTCCACCTTAGCGCACAGCTTCTTCAATGTCTCCTCCGCGAACGACTGCGACATGGCGTGAGTCGAGAAGATCATCTCGATCCGCACCTGCGAGCCCACCGGGGTGGCCAGAATTGACAAATCACAAGCATCGGGGGCTGGGCAGATGAATCCCGGGGCACATTTCAAGGTTCCTTCCATCGAGACCGGCTGCGTGGGATCCTCTTCCGCCCCGAACTCTTGGTACTGGAAGACCGAACTGAATCGCGTCGCGGCAGGCCAATCGGTACACTGGTCAACAATGTGCTGGAAACCGAGGGACTCGTGTGGAATCGTGTCGGTCTGCTGTTGCTGGATCATCTGCAGCAGCTCGAGGACCGTGCGTACAGTCTTCATGTCCGCACGGACGGGCACAATGTTCAGGCACGGTCCCATGACGGACTCGACGTTGTCCAGGGCGAGGTTGCGACCCGACACCATGTGGCCATAGACCACGTCCGATGTGGCGGCCAGCTCTCCCAGCACCATCGCCCACGCTGCTTTGATCACCGTAGCGGCGGTGATGCCATAATCCTTGTATGCGACCAAGGGTACCATGTCCACGATCATCGTATTGAGCACGTTGGTGATGGACGGCCTGGTGTGTTCGACCACCGCGGTCATCGCGGATCCCGCCAGCATCTGTCGATAGAAGGCCTCGGCGCCCTCATTGGCGAGTAACTGCATGCGCACGAAATCGGCGAACTGGGGTCGCTTCGCAAGAGACTCGCCTCTGTAGGCGCTGCGGAGGTCTTGCATCAAGAGCGGCATGGAAGAGCCGTCGTATTGCCCGTGAGAGATCCGCATGATCAGACGGTGTCGGATTGCCCCGTTCTTAATCACCATGAATCGAACGATGGGTTCGCCTAGACGTGGCGGCCGAGCAAGATCTTCACGAACAAGTGTCTCGGATGGGTCTTGATCATCCTGGATATGGAACGTGTACTCGGGACTTACTGATCGCAGCACAACTTGGAGCATTTGCGAGCTGGTCTTCACAAAAATCGTGCGAAGGATTGCGTGGTGCTTCAGCAGCTCCTCGCAGGCCGTCTGCAGGCGTCGTAGGTCAATCGGCCCGGTAAAATCGAACACCAGGTAATTGCTCCAACCGCGGGTCTTGTTGAGGCCACCGCCAATGGCAAGCGATTGGAAGTCGGTGACCTCAAGCACGTCCTCGATGTTAAAGGCAGGGAAGTCAACTTGTGGCAGCACGATCTCGTCCAAAAGCTGGTCCTTGGTGAAGGACTTCAGCGTCGAGAAAGGTTCGAATGTCTGAGGTCGCTGTTGATGCGACAAGGTTTCTGCAACGGCACTCATTGCCTCCAGAGTCGGGTGCTGGAAGACGGTGGCAGTCGAGAGAGGAATGCTTTGAGCACGAGCCGCGGATGCTAGTCGCATGGCCGTGATCGAATCCCCTCCCAGCCGGAGGAAATTGTCATTGAGGCTGATCTGCGCGGCCGATGTCTTGAGAACCTCGGCCCAGAGTTGCTGCAACGCAAGCTGCATCTCCGTAGTCGGGGGTCGCGCCTCTTCGGTTGCCCCCGTGTACTCGGCCATTTGTCTTTGAGTCATATCGCTACCACACCGGATCAATGTCTTGCGGTCTGCCTTGCCAGAGGGCAGTTTGGGAATGTAGTTCACTGGAAGGTAAGCACTCGGAATCATGTGCATTGGCAGGAAGTCCGCCAGCCGGTCCTCGAGTCCGGACACTGCTGTCACATGGCGGTCGCTCGGTGGGGGAATAATGGTGGTAGCAGAGGAAACTTCTTCAACGGGCACGGGAAGGAATGCCACCAAGCGAGGCTGGCTGGAAGCATCCTTAGGAGAGAGGATGTCAACGATGGCGTCCGGCTTGTTGGGTAGGCTTTGCTTGATGCGATACTCGATTTCGCCCAGTTCAATCCGCTG